TGGCGGCTAGAGTCCTCTCGTCCTCTGACTTGAGATGGCTGCCACCTATGGGTCAGATGAATGGCTGCCACCATGAAGCAATTGGTAATTAAATATAATTATTTTTTCCTAAAAAGTGTAAAATTATGGAAAAAATTTTTTCACGAAAATACATTGTCACGCACAACGAGTCTGTGTGCAAAATGTCAGCTCGATTGGATCACGGGAAGTGGGTTAAAAAACGACCGAAAGATTTGCACGGTCGTAAGCAAGCCAGTGAACTTAATATGAAGGATTTAAAAATAAAGGAAACCTTTGCAACGGGTACTGCCTGCAGCTGTGCGACCACTTCGCGTTGGAAAACAACCCCTGGAAGCGGACATCACCCAAGTCTCCTCCGAGTGCCCAGCCCAATCTTTAGTTGCAGAGGGCAACACGTCTCCGCTCGATGTGCGTATGAGAGAACGGCGGGGGGGGGGGGGGGGGTCGTTACGTGCCGGTCAAACGGACGTTTGAATTGTCAGAGGCTGGACGCTCACAAGAGTCGACATCGCTGAAACAAATTGAATGCGATGGGGTTCCTTTTGTTGTTGTGTGCGCGCGATCACCGATGACTTGCTTGGGACCATCAAGCAATGATGGAAGCCGGGTTAACCACCTGGAATTGAACCCATGTATCTCAGCGGTGCCGGGTCATCGCCATGACCTCTGCATCACTCGGTACACTCCTTAACACATTCCTGCGGAGGGAGCTGGTAGGAACGTTGGGTTGCTCGGTCAATGGCCAGGGTCAACGACGGCGTGGTGTATTCCACAAAAATGCCCGACTGAGGGCGGGCACAAGCCGGCGTGAGTAGGTTAAACGTTGAGTTGTATAAGGGCACCACGGGGTGACCAGCCCCTCCCCACCCAGCCCCACTCAGCCCCTCCCCACCCAGCCCCACTCCCCACCCAGCCCCACTCCCCACCCAGCCCCACTCCCCACCCTCCCCCTCTCCACCCAGCCCCTCCCTGCACGACGGACGGACACAATAATCCCCTGTGGGCTGGTGGAACCAGTGGGTTCCTACCAGTCTTAGGCATCTTAATCGTTTTAAGCCCAGCAAATACGCGCGCGCGTTCAGTTTCTCTTGCCTTTATTGAGCGTTATTGTGGACGGATCAATCATTATTTGCCGATAATTCCCAACACAGTTTTTTTTAGGTTTTATATAAAAAAAAACAGGAGAAAAAAACACGTCAATTGTGGTTGTTTAAACATCATTGCAAAAATGCTACATTCAATGCATCCATGGCCAATTCGCGAGCGACCGTCACGCACAAAATGACTCGGACGTTGGTAACCAAAGACGATTCGAATTTTTTTACGCTCGTGTCAAATTTTCAACTGTACAATGATGGCCAATGTGACGAATTGCGAGCCAAGTTTTTCGTAGTGTAAATGCTATATTGTTTAGTACATGCCAAACCGTATTTGATATTGGGCATCTTACTCAAAATGATTTGGCGGACAGGGTGGTGGGTGGGGGAGGCGGTGGGGGCTGTGGTTCGCACACCGCACCACGACGAACCTGGCCCAACCCGAGTTCGACTCCCGGCCACGGCCAACACCAGTTACACCGAATGATATCTGAACCAGTCTCGTCCCCCCCCCATCCCCATCACCAACTCGCACTGACCAGCGTGGTGAAGAACGGTCAAACAAAACCCCCATGACTGACGGCGTGGGGAAGGTCTTAATCCAGCAGTAAGATTAACAAATAACGGTGAACAATCACATTAATTGCTTTCATAACGTACACAGTTGTGTCAATATTAGACTAATCAGCGTCATTAAGTTGAGGACATCTCAATGGCAAGCGGGTTGGGGCACTGGCAGAGGGGATCTGATCCCAGATGACTTTAGTCCTTATTAACAAAGCAGATTAACCTTTGTAATAATAATAATAGCAACAGACGACTGCAAACTGAGGCTCGGAGAAGACATAAAGCACGCTTGTGAGCAGGAAAAAGCCCCCAACGACGCGGCGCACAAAAAAACACGCGGCGCTACGACACGTGGGTCACGTGCGCGTGACGCGAGTCACGTGCGTGAGTCACGTGCACGTGACGCGCACGTGGACGCACACGTGGACGCGAACGCGGCCCACGTGCACGGCGGGAAACGGCCCGTGCCGGACCTTCCGTTCGTCCAGCGTGTAAGATATTCCCTGGAGAAGTATGCAAAAGGATCGCTTTCGACGAAACGTTATTGTTAAAGTTGAGTTTGTTTTTTTTAAAGGCAGGGCGCTCATGGCCAGCAGTCTCGGTTTGTGTCGCGGTTTAAAAGCAGGAAACCAAACCACTGCCCTCCCTACTCGCCTCTCTCAACTCCCCGTCAAACGACGAACATCATCCGACAGAGAACAAAATAACTCGACGGAATTAGTGAACCCATGCGCAGCAAATGCATTGTGCCATCCATCCACCCCCGTGACGGCATTGGCGTTCACGGCAGAGCCTCGCACGAGGGTCCTGCCCAGGGCTGGAAATGGAATGACTGCGGGGACTCGTACATGACCCCCGACCCCACCTCCATTAAATCTGGAGTGTATCCGAGATGTGAAGAGCTTCGTTCCGTGTGTGGGTCTCTGTGCGTGTCTGTTGGTCTCTGTGTATGTCCGTAGGTATTTATGATTGTCCGTGGGTATTTATGCGTGTCTGGAGGTATCTGTGCTTTTATGTGGCTCTCTGTGCATGTCCGTGGGTAACTGTGCGTGTCTGTGGGTCTCTTGTGTTCGTCTCTTGTGTGTTCGTGGGTCTCTCTTGTTAGTTTGAGGGGGGAGGGGATCTATCTGCGAGTCAAATACAAAAACAAAAGATTAATCCTCGATTCATTCCGGAACGCAGTCACAGGGGGGGGGGGGGTACAGATTTTCACCACTGGTCCCCTGCCACGTTGAAACGTTCGTGCCGTCAATTAGCGCCGTCGCGCACGGGACGGGAGGAAACTCCACTGGCCCAGTTGGGGGGTGGGGGGGGTGGAACATTTCTATTCACCCCCCACCCCCCGTGATCCGATTCTAGAATCGACTTTTTTGTAACATTGCGGCGAATGTAGCAGCCCACTAGTGGCTGCAGACGTGACGAGGACTTAATCGTGTGTTAACTCGTAACAAATAAAAAAAACGCGTTGGTAACTCTTACGCGTCGGGGTCATTGGATGCATGTATCACGCGCTGACAAAAACAAGTATGTAATGATGGACCAACACATTGCTACAGCTCCTAGTCCACGGAGAAAACCCCCGTAAACACGAGGGGACATGCACTGCAAAGCCGTCAGCCCTGTGGGCGAGCGTCTCCCTACACACAATGATCTCCGTGCGATCCACCAACCCTGCCTCCGAAGACAAGTGTGCACCAACAGGACCATTCATCATCACCAAGACAAGGTCGATCCACCGCTTGTTGAAGGCCTCCCAAACGCCATCCCTCCCGGTGCAGTGCTGTCACCATCCATCTTCACGCCGGCGCACGGAACCAATCCCGTCGCTCCATCTCCGCTGATGGGCGTCCTCTCCTTCGCCTGCCGCTCCGTCTCGTCTCATCCATCGATCGCCGTCCCGAGCGGACGCGTCTCGCCAAAACCCATCCGCGAGCTTTTCTCAAATCGTCGTTGCCACGTCTCTTGATTCGCGCTCGTTCCCCGGATCCTCGCGTTGGCTCCCCCACCGATTTTCACGTCGAGCGTGCGGTCTCGCGAACGATTGACAACTCACTCCTCCGTTGAAAACTCATTCCTTTCGTTCTGCCTTTTTTGGGTTTCTTTTCTTGTCCTTCGCCCGCACCTCCGATTAGTGCAGTTGGCTACGTACGGTGTGAAAGAAGTGCAACGTACACACACATACATCCCGACCAGCACCACGCCGTTCTTACTGGAAACTCTTAATTCGAGCAAAGGCGGATGTGATGCCTTAATACCAGTTGCCTTCATCCGGCGCAAACTACTTAAAATGACTTACGGACACTCAAGCGCCAAGTTGTAGGATTTGTATCTGCATTTGCTGCGGATGGTTTACATGCATATGTCAGGAGGACCTGTAGGCCTGGCTTACTAGGTTTGTTTTGTTTGAGGTTTTAATTAGAAGTTTTAAAGACGGTAATAAAAAAAGCTATAGTGTATTTTATAGACACACCACTTATCCACGACACATCACAAAGGACCGCTTTTTTTGCAAACCCATCTTTTCCTATTAATTCCATCATGCATTATTTCTGATAATCCATCGACAAACCTAGTTACGATACATCAGCTGTGCGCGTGTGTGGACGGGTGCGTCACGTTAAAACCTGCCCTGTGGAAGCTTGCAAAGGACCCAGTTTGGAGAGTTCATTCCACTGCAACTGAGATCCCTACCTCCTGTATTTTGCTGGTGTCCAGATGTTTCATTGTGATCCAGCCCCCCGACCTTGCATGGGGAGGGGGGGGGGGGGTTCAGCTCCAACGACCTCCGTCCACCCAGCCAATCGCAAGCCGTCCACGTGCCAACCATAGCGGCGAGGTCGCCCCATTGGTTCGGCTGGCTGGGTCCCGGGGGTTGCTACTGGAGGGTTAGGGAGATCTTGGCGTACGCGTCGATCACCACGCGACGCGGCGGCCATCACCGCCACGCCGGTGAGCCGAATGTTTTACAAGGCTTCACGTTAGCCACAAAAGGACCGACGGACCAATGCTGGTTCCTCTCGTCCGTGACGACGCGGAGGGAATGGTGGCGGTGAGTTCTAGCGGGGGTTAAGAGGAACGAACTGCCCTCGGAGCGAAGCCTAAAACGACCGCGATGGCCGCGCATCGTACGTAGCGCAGCGTCGCCCCCCCCCCCCACCATCCGCCACCTCACCCGACCATCGCCCGGCTCCGTGAGTGGGGGCGAGGTGTACCACCCACGTCCGTCACCTAAGCCACTCCGCGAATCCTCAGGGCCCCCCCCCCCCGGGCCCCCCCCCCCCGGGCCCCCCCCCCCGGGCCCCCCCCCCCCCCCCCCCCCCGACGGCCAGGGTTGTTGCCGCGATATCGCGATACTACGACACGTCGCACGATGTCAAGAACTGCCGTAATCGTATCGTCTGTTTGGATTTTTTTTTTGCCTGCTGCACAATACCGTCACCGATTTTTATATATATGTATACGTTTAAAAGTAAAAATTCCTGACCCCCAATGTTTACAAAATACCAATAATTGTTGACAACAGCAATTAAAGGTCTAAACAAAAGAGCTGTTGCCCAGGAGACCGGAGCACTGTAAAATGTTTGCTGGATACACTCACGGCGTTTTCTGACAGCGTATGCATTGCAGATTGTACAGCTGCAACGACGAGAGGGCTTCGGTTGAGCGAACCGTCGAGGAACAACCCTTTAAGTGCTCTGTAATCGTGCCTGGAAGTACGTCGGAGGGAGAGCAAAGTCGCGACGTAAGCAAAAGGCGGCTCAGTCGCAAGCGCCGAGGGAACGGGCGTCGCGATCGTCGCCGGGGGGGGGCTCATGAAATTCAACAGCCGCACCGCATCGGCAAAGGGATTCTATCGCAGCAAACCCCCGCTTGGAGCGGATAGGACGGAGAGGCTGACCCCTTCCGTGACCCCAGCGGACACAGCAGGGCTCACATTCTGTGGGTAGTCGCGCTGGAACTCCATTCGAATCGCACGCGGTTCGGTGGTGGTGGAGCGGGTGGTTCTGTGACAAATCGGGTGGTGGGTGGGGGTTGTTCAACCCCGACCCCAACCCTTGACCCCAAACCCATCCCTCAACTACAACACCAAGCTTAACCGTGAACCTAACTGCAAACTTAACCCGCGCGAGACTCTAACCCCCCAATCCTCTATTCCCAGCAGACGCAAAGCGACAGCAATGCCTACGTGCAATTCTTTGCTTTGGCCACCGTCGGTTAAGCGCATCGCGGTCCGCTTGCTCACATTGGCCTATTGCGGCATCGCGTATAAAGCAGTCCGAAGACTCAGGGGTGCGTGCAAGAAGGGAAGATGGGAGTGGTGGGGTGGGGTGGGGTAGGGTAAGGGTGGTTGGGTGGGGTAAGGGTGGGTGGGATAAGGGTAAAGTAAGGGTGGGTGGGGCAGGGTGGGTGGGTGGGTTGCAGGGGTGGGTGGATTGCAGGGGTGGGTGGGTGGGGCAGGGGTGGGTGGGTGGTTGGGGTGGCGTTGGGTGGGGTGGGTGGAGTTGGGTCGGTAGGGTGGGGTATGGTTGGTGGGTGGGGTAGGGTGGGTAGGGTGGGGTAGGGTGGGTGGGATAGAGTGGGGTAGGGTAGGTGGATGGGTTGGGGTGACAGGAGTGATGGTGGGGGTAGGAGAGTGGTGGTCGGAGAAGGCAGTGAGATGTGGGTTGAGTGGCTGCGCCGGGAGGGCGAGCCAACCGGCTCGTGGTTAACGTTGCGCGGTGGGTTGGTGGCGAGACGAGTTGGGGGGGGGGGGTGCCACGACGTGGTAGTAGGAGGTGAGCGGCGGGTGATGGTAGTCGCGGGGTAGATGAGCGTCGGGTGGGTAGAGGAGCCCAAGCGGTGGGGGGCACGGTGGAGCGCGGCGGCTCTCAGAGGGGGGCGGCTGTGAGTTTGGCGGCGGCCTCTTCCTCGGCGTCGGCGCGGTTCGCCTGCAGCTCCGTGAGCGTTTTGGCGAATGACGTCCACTCGTCGGGCCGCGGCACGGCCACGTGCTGGGGTCGCCACGCACAAGAGACAAAAGGGCCCCCCCCATCCCCCCAGGCAGCCCGTCAACACACAACGTATTGTCTGGAGCGAGCGCCAAGTGCCGCCAACGGCCACCGCCAGCACCGCCGACACCGCCGTGGAGAACAGTTCCCGGCAGCAAAGATGCCACACGCACAAGTACAACGCAAGCACCGGAAATGCCGACATCGAGATTGAGAACTCATTTTTTGAGAACGGGTTTTTGTGCGTTCAGTTTGTTGTCCATCCCCCACGCCACCGACTTGGCGCGGTTGGCTACGTACGGCGCGAAAGAAGTTCAACGTACACACACGTGCATGCAACAGCAGCAATAACGGAATCTGCCGTGATACCACCATCACCACCACCACCAGCAGCACGACCAACAACACAAGCAGCACCACAATAACTAATGCAGGCAATAACAGCATCATCACCAGATTAAACTATACAAACTATACAAACTATAAACTGATGGATAACTTTGAGAAAAATCCACTCGACCAAGGGGGGAGAGACGCGCAAACTCCAAATATACAGCAGGCGTCAGAGTCGGGAGCGAGCCCACGGCCTCTGACATACAAGGCGAGGGAAGTAACATCTCGTCACCGTGTCGAGATTTGATCGCAGCAAAGGGCAAAAGGCTCACAAGGGCTCGCGTGTATGCATGTGTGTGTGTGTGCATGTGTGTGTGTGTGTGTGCATGTGTGTGTGTGTGCATGTGTGTGTGTGTGTGTGCATGTGTGTGTGTATGCATGTGTGTGTGTGTGTGTGCATGTGTGTGTGTGTGTGCATGTGTGTGTGTGTGCATGTGTGTGTGTGTGTGCATGTGTGTGTGTATGCATGTGTGTGTGTGTGTGCATGTGTGTGTGTGTGCATGTGTGTGTGTGTGCATGTGTGTGTGTGTGCATGTGTGTGTGTGTGCATGTGTGTGTGTGTGCATGTGTGTGTGTGTGCATGTGTGTGTGTGTGCATGTGTGTGTGTGTGCATGTGTGTGTGTGTGCATGTGTGTGTGTGTGCATGTGTGTGTGTGTGCATGTGTGTGTGTGTGCATGTGTATGTGTGTGCGTGTATGTGTGGGGAGCGGTAGTGTAGCGGTTAGCGCGCTGCGCTATGAACCTGGCGACCCGGATTCGATTCCCGCTCACAGCTAACACCAGTGACGATTATCTGAACCGGTCCTGAGCCTCCCCTAGGTCGACTCAGCCTTAAATGAGTACCCGGTGCGGTGTGTAAACATCGCCACTGGGGAGACAAAGGCGGTCGGGCGTGATGTTGGCCACCCACCCCCTCGTGTGCCGTGCCGGCCTTCATAGGTGCTCGCTAACAGCACTTGCCCCTACAGTCTGTTAAGGCACAGGTGGTGCATCAGCCAGGTGGTGCATCAGCCAGTCATCTCGGTCAGTGGACCCGTGGCACCTGGGTCTGCCCCGTGACCTCCTGCCAGCGGGCGTTCGACACTTCACGTGGCCTCAAGGTGCACTTGGCCTGGCACAAGCGTCGTGGTGACGTCACCACTTAGTGGCGAATGGCGGTTGCTGTTGTTGTTGTGTGTGTGTGTGCGTGTGTGTGCGCGTGCGCGTGCATGCGTGTGTGCGTGCGGGGCAGCGAGGCCTCACCTCTCCCACGTCGTAGATCCACAAGCGGCCCTCTGCATCACCGACGGCCACCTCGCGGCCCGACTGGGCCCAGCGCACGCGGTTCAGCGCCGGCGCCCCGTCCAGCACCACGCTCGCCGTGGGCACCTGCAGGAGGACAAAGACAAAGATCCCCCATGTAGCCTTTCAACGGACCTGGGGCGAGCGCTCTTAACGAGTGGCACCTATGAAGACCGGCACGGCACGAGAGGTTTGGGTGGACAGCGCCGCGCCCGGCTGCCTCTGTCTCCCGAGCAGGCGATGTTTACCACACACCGCGCGCCAGGTACTCATTTGAGGCCGACTCAACCTACGGGAGGCCCAGGACCGGCTCACATAATCGTCACCGGTGTTGGTGGCCATGGGCGGGAATGGAGCTCGGGTCGCCGGGTTTTGCAGCTCGGCGCGCTAACCGCTGTCCCGCCGCTCCTCCATTGCGGGAGAACTTAAGGCCAAGGTCGCAGCCAAAGCCGCCGCCACCACCATCGCACTCCGCCAATGCTTTGTATCCTGCAGCCATTGCTACTGCTACTGCTGCACGGGAGTCGTGCGGCAAGCTCCAGCGTCTGCCCTGGCAGTCTCATCCCACCATCTCGTCTGCTCTCGGATCTTCTCTTCCCCACGGTCGCCGGACTCGGGGAGACCGCTCCGGTGCCCGTGTCTCGGTAACGGACCCAACATGCATCTAACCCACCAACCCACCAAGCGCATCTACGACACTCACTTTCGCCACGTTCTCTACCGGGCAGTTTATTTTAATATTCATTAAAGTGTTAATTGGGCCACTTCCAAATGATACCAATGATTACCCATAACTTGAAAGTGTCTGAAATGTACGCCCAAAGTCGCAGACCCCCCCCCCCCCCCCCACACACACCACCGTCACCCGATCCCACACGGCTGGAGATCAGTCGTGCTCGGTGACATACGATCACGAGAAGAAAACGTAACATAATCCTCAGTGCTAGACTAAACGGACTTGTGTTTTTGTTTACATGCAGTCATTTGTGACTTTGGCCATGACCATATGGTTGAGAACCCGGTGAAATCACCTGCTGCCGAAACCCGGATTCGAAGCCAGGTTCTCAGCGATGCCGGCACAGTATCTTTGACACGGCCATTATAAATAAACTATTAAAACTATTTTTATTTTACCAGGTCAGGTCCCAGCGAGCAATATAGGTCTTTCAGAAGCGACCTGGCCACAAATGATAGCTCAACGAAGTTGTTTGTCACGTGGAGAAAAATCCACGTGACCACGGGGAGAGACACACCGGAAACTACAAATATACAGCAGGCGTCAGGGTCGGGATCGAACCTACGACCTCCTGTATACCAGGCGAGGTAGTTAACATCTCCTAGCCACCGTGATAATGACGATATGAGAGAGAGAGACACCACAAACTACAAATATACATCAGGCGTCAGGGTCGAGATCAAAACCACGACCTCCTGTATACCAGGCGAGGTTGTTAACATCTCCAAACCACCGTGATAATGATGATGAGAGAGAGACACCGCAAACTCCAAATATACATCAGGCGTCAGGGTCGGGATCGAACCTACGACCTCCTGTGTACCAGGTGAGGTTGTTAACATCTCCTAGCCAGCATCGCGAATCCCCCGCCACCGAGCCTCCCCAGCCCACTCCTCCTCTAGAATCGCGCTCCAAACGCGATTGGCTCGTGCCGGCGGCGCGTGCCGGCTCGGCGTCTCCCGGCACGGCCGATACGACGGGGGCCTCCCGGGGGAGGGGGGGGTGGGGGCGCGCCGACCTCGGTGTCGTTGCTCAGGTTCCAGAGGTCCAGGCGGCCCATGCCGTCCACGCAGGCGAAGAGCGCGGGGTGCGTGGGCGACCACGCCACGTCGTACACGTAGTCCGAGTTATCCTCAAACGAGTACAGCGGCTTGTTGCTCTGCGATCGCACGCACGCACGCACGCACGGGGGTGAAAAAACGCGTCAAGCGAAAAACTGTTTGGGCACAAATAATGGAGTAATGATGAAGTTTGGCAAGATAAGACGTACTACTGCTACTACGCACACGTGCGGCGAGATGGCGGGACTAATAACCGAGGGTACGTCGCCGCGTTAATGTACCGCTCGGCTGCGCAGCTCAACAAAGTAGTTTCTGTCGACCGCTCAGAAACCGCGTTATAACGGTGCGTGTGCCATGTTACAATGGAGGGGAGGGGGAGCGCTTTCCGCAATTTATCGGAGCGCGTCCCCCGTCACTGCGGCGCGCGTCCTGTGTCACGGCGGCGCGCTTGCCGCGTCAAAGCGTCCCCCCCGTAACAGCGGCCCGCGATAAGTGCTCCCTTACAGCACGAACAGCACTGCGCGATAAGCAAGGACTTAGCGCAACACGCACACAGGAAGCGCACCGAGCGCCGATCTAGCCCGTGGATATTTCGAGGGTCCGCGCCGTGCGACGCACTCTGGCAGGAGGGCACTCACCTTGGTGCTCCACAGCTTGACCGTCCAGTCGAAGGACGACGTCGCGAAGAGGTGGGAGAAGTCGACGGGCCCCACGGCGGCATGGCAGGCGATGCCCGTGATGGGGCCCTGGTGGCCCTCAAACATCTCGCAGATGCCAGCCTTGCTGCAAGAACAGCGACGGGGCGGGGGAGGGGGTCAGGACGCCATCCGTGGTTGCTACGCCGCCACACGTGGCGGTCTCCAATCCATCGGCGAGGGTCAGAGGTCGCAAACGGGTTTTGATTCCTTACCCGTACCCGGCCGCACCAGGGTCGCAAACGGATACCCGCACCCTACCCGATACCCGGCTACCCAGCCTACCCGTACCCGTACCCGGCCGCACCAGGGTCGCAAACGGCTACCCGGCAGGGTACGGGTAGCCGGGTATCGGGTAGGGTACGGGTATCGGGTACCCGATTGCGACCTCTGGCGAGGGTTGGGTTGGATCACCGCACACGGATGCCGTGCGGAGACTCCCTGCCCGCCAGGTGTCGGGGAGGAGCCGTGTATCCTGGCTCGCTGGGAGAAGGCGGCACGGCAAAAAAATGTGGACTAAAATCCGTTCTGTGACGTACGGGATAGAAGCGTTGCCCCCTCGCACGCGAGGGTTTTCTCTGGGTGCTCCGGGTTTCCTCCCACATACATAAACACATTAATTGGCCAAAACACCTTCATATATAGAGGACTGCAGAGCTTTGGGGGGGGGTGGGGTAGGGAATTTGCTGTTGGCTCATCGCCTGGCTGCATTTCCCGCTTGTCTCTGGTTCCTTCTCGCACCCACGGAGTCGTTGTTCTCACTCTCCGAGAGGTAGCGCATACCGTGCTGTGCGTTACAAGTTTAAATTATTATAATTATCATTATACAGTATTTACTTGTTATTCACAAACTTGCTATCCACAATCTTGGCTTCCCGCGAATCGCATCCGGAAGACTACAAGACTGCGTTGAGAGAAAGTGATGAGAGATAAAGTGATGAGAGAATAGGTGATGAGATAAAGATATTATAATGTTCATGTATTTAATAGCCTATTCATGCACTTATTTAAGGAAATTCATTTCAAAAGATCGAGGTTTTCCTAGGCCAATATCATTCTCCGTGAAATTTCTATTCACAATCATCTCCGAAATGTTATCCCTCGCGAATAACGAGAGAATCCCACATACAATTATAATAACGAGGGAATCCCGTGTACAATTATAGTGGCCGAATTCCACGCACGGCCAGTGCTCTCCAATCACCGTAGCCCAACCTCTCACAGCCCCCGTCCTCCTTGCTCATGCGCGCTCATGTTGCTTGGCGCAACACTGAGCCAGCAGTAAAAAAAACATTCCACATTCCCATAGCAGGGGCCAGGTTTCTCTTTAGGCCTCTCTCCTGATGGATGATCTGCTGGTGGCGCGTTGATTCACCCCACTGATTCAACGGATTTGTCCAGATTCAGGGCTCAGATTCCACGCCAAAAAAAAATCGATTCTGGTGAATGTGGCAGCCTCTACTGCTTTGCTTTTGGGAGCGGGGGGGGGGTCGCATGAATCTATTACCAACAACATATGAAACAGCGAACACATTTCCAACGGCAATCGGCAAATGTCGCGTAAGCTTCGAGAATCGATACGTAACGACGAAGAAATGCATCGTTGCACTCCGTAACAACCACCTTTGACCTTCTACGAAGAGGTCCTTAAAATTGATCAACCCCAGAGGTGTGATGGGCCGAGCAGCCCCGAAGCAGGAAATGGAATCGGGCCCTTCTGGCTTGAGACCCGGAGGCGTTCACCGTCACACGACTGGAGGATTGACGGCCGGGGAACCAGGAAACTCGGCACGGTTCCGATATAACTCGCCACCGATATTAAGCCTCGGCCAGGAATCAAACTCAGGTGGCTGGGGTCATCGTGCCGTGCGCGAACCTCTGATCTCCCACCGTCATTGTGGGAAGTACACATCAACTTAAATTAAATGGGGCCATTCGAACCCCTGGTCATTTGCTGATCAATTTCCTAATCTATTCAAATAATTAACAATATATTCTTAGGCACTACTAAGTAACTTTATTACCCATTAGCAGATTGAAGATCGCTGCCTTCTTGCCAAGGAAACGCTTGACAATGAGACGTGAACTCCAAGGGCTCTTCCTGATTAAACGTGAGATTAATTGACTGTATAACCACTGCTCTTACTTAATTGGAACAACCAACCTCACCCCCCGCCCCTCAACAGGCAGACAAATGCCCACTTGCTGTGTTCACCTTGTGCCACACAGGAGGGCAAAAGATGACATTGGGGAGGGTTCCTGAGGTTAAACACAAAAGTCTGGTATCGTTACTAATCCTTCCTAGGTGTCAACGCACCACGGTCAGAACCCTTGCCACACTGCATTCAGAACCCTTGCCACACTGCATTCAGAACCCTTGCCGTACCGCATTCAGAACGCTTGCCGTACCGCATTCAGAACGCTTGCCGTACTGCGTTCAGAACGCTTGCCGTACTGCGTTCAGAACGCTTGCTGCGCCGCTGGAAGTTTAAAAGCTCAAACTCTGTTCGTAGGGACTACTCAAGACTTCATAACCATCGCGCTCACACCAGAAAAGCACCACTTTGCACCAAGCTAATAGGACACAGTACTCACTTGTCCTGGGACTCATTTCCGATTGGGGCCGGCTCCTCCTGTGACCTACCCAGGGACTCGCTGGGCCCCGGTTGCTTCGTATGTATGTTGAACTTCTTTCGCACCGTACTTAGTCAACCGCGCTAATCCGAAGTGCGATTAGCAGTTCTAAATAAATTAGTTTTCAATCTAGATTTCTAAGTGCACAGATCCAGTGGCTTCCTAATATCGGAAAAGCATTCCAGATGGCCGCAGAGGCGCACCTGAAAGCCACTGCTGCGAGGATGACCGGAGTTTGCGCGATGATGGTTTATGCTCCTTGACAAGATCGTCGCCCTGTACCAGGCCTCGTCGTGAATGTCACAACAACGATGCAAAAACACCGCCGGGCTCCGCGGAATGCCGAGGCGGTGGAGGTGTGGTAGGGAGGCTGCGGTGGGGGGGGGGGCTGCGGTGGGGGGGGAGGGGTGGCTCACCTGCCGTGCCGTGACGCCGTGTACACCGAGCCCTCCTCGCTCCCCACCACGAAGTTGTTGACGTCGCCGAGCGGGAAGGCCATGCACGTGACGGCCACCGCCTTGGACTGCTTGTGAGACAGCTCCATGCTGTCCTGCATCGGCCAACGATGATGACGATGAAACGCAAAGTGGGGAGCGGTAGTGCAGCGGTTAGCGCGCTGCGCTACTACCCTGGTGACCCGAGTTCGATTCCAGCTCATGGTCACCAACACCGGTGACGATTATAATTATCTGAACAGATTCTGGGCATCCCCTAGGTCGACTCAGCCTCAAATGAGTACCTGGTGCGGTGTGCAGTAAACATCGCCACTGGGGAGATAAAGGCGGCCTGGCGTGGTGCTGGCTATCCACCCCCTCGTGTGCCGTTCCGGCCTTCATAGGTGCTCGCTAACAGCACTTGCCCCGACAGTCTGTTCAGTCTATCCGGGGGATCTTTGTCGTTGTGCGAAGATAAAGACAAAAGTGCTACAGCACTATTTTTTTTTATAGGTAAGGCCCCAACTACTGAGCTGCATGACTCGTTTTCAGAAGCAACAACGCCAGCAGCAGCACTACCAACAACACAAGCAGCACCACCAAAACCAGTGCAGGCAGCAACAGCACCATCACCAGATTTAAACTTTCCCAACAATTTTTATTTTACCAAAAAAAAAGCCTCTATTATGGATGATATTGGTCGCGAAAGCCTACGTGTGAAAAAGGCCCACTGAGCAATATTACTGATTTTCAGAAGCGACCTGCCCACAAACGATAGCTCAACAAAGTGGCTTATCACGTGGAAATTTATAGCAGCCAAATAATCTAAACGCGTGATGTTGATTGTATATGTGGAGGGAAAAACCGGAGCCGGAGAAAAATCCACACCACGGGGAGAAAGGCAACGTTGGAATTGAACCCACTACCTCCTGCATACCAGGCGAGGTAGTTAACATCTCACCACCGAGGTGCCCATACAAGCCACGCAAACTCCAACCTCGTTATAGCCCTTTTTAAAGACGTGTGGGGGCAAATGCTGTTTCACGCTGACCAGCGCGGTCAAATATGGTCAAACAACTCCAACAAATTTCGATTTAAAGCTTTCGTGACTGCAGGGATTCATCTTCTTGGTTCTTTCGGCAAAGTGACGTAGAAGGGAAATATTGTATCTTCTTTACGTACCTTCTGCAGCCAGGCCACCAAGATTATATGGCTTGCCAAAGATACATAAAGAAGATACAATATTTCCTTCTACGTGACTTTAGCGAAAGAACAAGAAGATGAACTCCAACAAAGATAAAGTCCCTCCTCCACGTACAGCCTTTGCAAGACCGTTGGGGGCAAGTGCCGTTCGCGAGTAGCAGCACCCATGAAGGCCGGCGAGGTACGGGGGGGGGTGGGCGGCCAACACCATGGCCGGCCACCCTCACTGCTAATTGTTACTCAATTTAGGATGAATCGACCGAGGAGAGGCCCAGAAGCAGTTCACATGTTCACCAGCGTTATCAGTCGTGAGCAGGAATCAAACTCTGGTCGCCGGGTTCGGGTGCCACCACCAAAGAACCGACCGGCCTGAACTGGATTCCCAGTCACGGCTGGCATCAGCTGCGAGTGATATCTAAACGAGTCACCCCCCCTCCGCCCTCCAAGGTCAACTAAGCCTTCAATGAGTACCTGGTGCAAGCGTGCAATACATCAGTGCTGGGGAGACGCAAAATGTGGAAAGGGCGTGGTACCGGCTAAACCTCGAATTGGCAGACTCGGTGATATATTTATGACTAGCTTTACGACCCGGCTTCGCCCGGGACTTGTGGATTCACCACGCCCGGCTGCCTTTGTGTCCCCAGTGGCGATGTTCACACACCAACACCAGTTACTCGTTTGAGGCTGAGTCGACCTAGGGGAGGCTCAGGACCAGTTCAAATAATCGTCACAGGTGGTGGCCGTGAGCGGGAGTCGAACTCGGGTCGCCGGGTTCGTAGCGCGGCGCGCTAACCACTACACTACAATGCGTGACGCTTCCACATGCGCGGGTCACGTGACAGATTTGACGTCACAGCTCACTTGCCGTGCAAAAAATATATGTATTTATTGAACTCCCCCCCCCCGCCCCCCCCAATGGTGTACAGTCTGAAAAGTACCCACATGGCAAATTTCAAGTTTGTTGCATGTCGGGAAGTACGCGAAACATCTTGAACAGACACATAGTCACAACTTTGCCTTTTATATGTATGGAGATTGATATGCGATACACCGCTGACGTACGTGGTGTACGGACTTGGTGCTTCATCAGCGTCGATGCGCATCACCTGCCAGCGTTACTCGAGTGCCGCATGACCTGAATGTTGTTTTTCCTCGAGCGCATTTGCTACTCGAGCTGCCGCAGTGCTACTATGTATTCGCTGTAACAAGGTCCTCCGTGGGACATTCTTGCAAAACAGCTGACGGCTGAACATTTTGTTACCCGCGTCAGCAAATAAAAACTAGCAAACAAACGAGGATATTCGTGTCTAGATTCTTTGGGTGGTAGCATCACAACACATTCCTACACTATACTCGTGTGTGTGTACGGTACAACAACAACCGCCGTTCACCACTAAGTGGCGGTGACGTCACCACGGCGCTTGTGCCATGCCAGGTGCACTTTGAGGCCACGTGAAGTGTCAAAGGCTCGCTGCTGACAGGCGGTCACGGAACAGACCCGGGTGCCATGGGTTGACTGACAATTGTGTGGTGTTGACAGTCCATGAGTGGGGAAGGGGGGGGGGTCTCACCTGGGGCTGAGAGAGCATGTCAAGATTCCAGGAGCACATCTTGCCATCGGTGGAGACGCTGATGAGGTTGTGAGCATTTTGAGTTCCCAGGACGTTGACACAGTAAACTGGATGCTGTACACACACACACAAAGACCCCCCGTATAGCCTTGACAGATTCTTTGGGCAAGTGCTGTTTGCGAGCACCTATGAAGGCCGGCACAGGACACGAGGAGGGTGGTGGCTGCGGTTGGCGTGGTGGCAGAGGCTGTGTTTGCCTTGGCTGTTGTTGCCATGCTGGGCGGTGGCTGTGGTTGCTGTGGTGGGCGGTGGCTGTGGTTGCTGTGGTGGGCAGTGGCTGCAGTTGCCATGGTGGGTTGTGGCTGTGGTTGCCGTGGTGGGCGGTGGCTGCGGTTGCCATGGTGGGCAGTGGCTGCGGTTGCCATGGTGGGCGGTGGCTGCAGTTGCCGTGGTAGCGGTGGCTGTGGTCCCCGTGGTAGCGGTGGCTGTGGTTGTGGTTGCTGTGGTGGTACCAGCTGCAGCGGTTGCCATGGTGGGCGGTAAATGCAGTTGCCGTGAAGAGCGGTGGCTGTGGTGGTGCGGTGTGCCTCCCGTACCGTGTGTGCGGCGGCCGAGAGAGGCGTGCGCTGCACGGGCGTGCGCTTGTTGGAGCGGTTGTCCCACAGCACGATCTGTCCCGAGTAGGTGCCGCCCACCACCAGGTTCGGGTGGAAACGCGCGAAGCAGGCGGACATCACCGACGACTGCACACACGCACAGTGGCACACACGCACAGTGGCACACACGCAGGCATGCACGGGTGGCAGGACACACACACACAGCGGTACACGTACGCACAGCGGTATGCATGCACGGCGGCACACACACGCATGGCGGCAGTACACGCACGGCGGCACACACACGCACACACACACGCACACACACGCTGAAACACACACACCCAGACGGCGGCACACACAGACACACATACAGCGGCACACACGTACGCATGCATGCACAGCGGAACATGCACACCCACACGGCTGCACATGACTACTATAATGTAACGCGCGTGAAGCCACTCCACATGCCGCACTCCCCCACCCCCCCCCCCCGTCATTTATATTCATGAGCGGGTGGATTTTTACACTCGCGCAGAATGTCGAGCGGAAATCATTCTTTTTGCAAATTCGCTTAACGTTTGACGTCCAGCACTTGAGACAAAAGGTAAGTCTCATTTATGCTTCTACATTATGGTAAAATAGACATTTCCCGGTGATTTTCCAGATATTTGATCGAATTCCAATTTATTTCAACTCCAGCGACCGAAAGCAGAAGAGAATAAAGTATCAGAGCAGTGAATTTGAGCAAATTGAAGGTCAGTTATATACTGTGCTAGTGACATGAAATCAGGTGTTTTATGACATAGTTTTGTGCAAGATTCACTGCCATTACCATTTACACAAGATACAATTATACTCTGCTCAATTTTTTCGTAAATATCACAGCTTCCGTCCTAGGACGGGCAAACAGGCTGGCACATAAGACACCAACAACAACCGCCATTCGCCACGTAAAGTGTCACAGGCATTGTGGCACACACACACACGGTCAGAACAGACAAAGATCTCCCATTAAGCCTCCTAGACTTGTTGGGGAAAGTGCTGCTAGCGAACACACAACTAGGTCAGTACTGCGAATAGCGTTGATTGTTTTAACCAGAAAAGCACCGCCGATTAAGCAAGAATCGTTCTCAGGAGGGTCACGTTCGATTGAGGTTTCAGCACAATTCCACTCGTGTTAGTGTGGATTAGCGTGCGTGCAGACTGGAGGACCTAGACAAAAACCCGCCCACTCAACTCTGACATTTCCTGGGCCACCCCACGGCACACGCCTGGTGCACCTGATAGCCGCCATGGTGGTGAAATGTTAACTACCTCGCCTGGTGTACAGGAGGAGGTCGTGGGTTCGATCCCGACCCTGACACCTGCTGCATATTTGGAGTTTGCAGTGTCTCTCATTATCATCATCACGGTGGCTAGGAGATGTTAACTACCTCGCCTGGTGTACAGGAGGAGGTCGTGGGTTCGATCCCGACCCCGACGCCTGTATTGTTAGAGTTTGCACGTCTCTCTCCCGGTGGTCGTTTTTCGTTTTTTCCCCTCCACATTTACAATCGACATGTGTAAAGAGTATTTGGCTGCTATAAATTCCACGAGATGATAAGCCCCTTCGTTGGGCTATCATTTGTGGCCAGGTCGCTTCTGAAAAAGAGCTACATAGCTCAGTGGGCCTTACCTGGTAAAATAAAAATCGTTTCGATCAAATAGTTTATTCTAGATTGAATTTAGAGATTTAGTTATTTTAATTTTTAGTTTTCACCTACGTGACTTTACCGAAATAACCAAAGAGTATGTTTCAATAGTTTAGTTTATCCCCAGACAGTGTGCCATTCCAAGCATTGCACATTGGCACGGTGGTCGCACGCACGCTGGCACGGTAGCACGGTGTGGCACGCACCTGGCAGTGAAAGATGTACTCGGGTGTGGACTTCTTGAACTTCATGTTCCACACGAGCGCCACGCCGTCCGGCTCGTTGGGCGCCGCCTCGTTGTTACTGTACGAGGACACGAGGAGCTCCGGGTACTGCGCTCGCGCGGAGAGGAGAGCACGCACACACACACGCACACACACACGCACGCACACACGCACGCACACACGCACGCACACACGCACGCACACACGCACGCACACACGCACGCACACACGCACGCACACACGCACGCACACACACACGCACACACACACGCACACGCAAACACACACACACGCACACACACACACGCACACGCAGCCCGCCATGGTCACCACAAGACCGTGCCGATCTTGTCAAGGAGTATAAACCATCAAAGCGAACTCCGGTCACCCTCGCAGCGGCGGCGGCTTTTGGCTAACCATCGAACAGACGGTGGTCACCGCATCGCGTGCTTTCAGATGCGCTTCTGCGGCCGTCTGGAACGCTCTTCCTTCCGATATTAGGAAGCCACTGGAGCTATGCACTTTAAAATCGTCTAGATTAAAAACTCCTTTCTTTAAAACTGCTTTTGTTTTGAGATTGTTGTCCTTTCCCAGCACCTCCGATTAGCAAGGTTGACTACGTACGGTGCAAAAGAAGCTCAACATACATACATTACGAAAAAAACTATTTTTATTTTAGCTGGTAAGGCCCACTAGGCTATATAGCTGTTTTCAGAAACGACCTGGCCACAAAAGATAGCTCAACGCAGTGGCTTATCACGTGGAAATGTATAGCAGCCAAATACTCTAAACACACGGGGAGAACGTGCATACTCGAAATACACAGCAGGCGTCAGGGTCGGGATCGAACCCAAGACCAACTGTATAGCAGGTGAGGTAGTTAACATCTCGCCACCACGGTGTGCACATCGATCGGAGAGTGGTCACATCTGGGTCGGTGACGCGGCCAAGTAGTGGCGCTTCAGCCACTTGTTGCAGAGGTTCAACTGTGTGTACGTGTGTGAATACACACGTGTGTGAATACACACACGTGTTAGCACACGTGTCTGAGCACACACGTAGTGTAGCGGTTAGCACGCAGTGTTACGAACCCGGCAACCCAGAGTTCGATTCCTACTCACGGCAGTATAGCTGAACCGGTCCTAGGCCTCCCCCCAAGATTGACTCCACCTTAAATTACGACAGGCCGCGGTGTGTATAAAACACGAGCACCGGGCGTGGCGCTGACAACACTGCACCCTCGTGCGACCTGCCAACCCCTTCATAGGCGCTCGCTAATAACACCTAACCTGACAAGCCTGCCGAAGGCTCTACAGGGGACCTTCATCTGTTGTGTGTGTGTCAGAGGTCGCAAACGGGTTTTGATTCCTTACCCGTACCCGGCCGCACCAGGGTCGCAAATGGGTACTCGTTCCCTACCCCTACCCGTACCCTACCCGAAATGAGTGACAAACGGTTACTCACCAGTGACTCACGGCCTACCCGTACCCGGCCGCACCAGGGTCGCAAACGGGTACCCGTACCCAGGCGGGTACGGGTAGCCGGGTATCGGGCAGGGTACGGGTATCGGGTACCCGGTTGCGACCTCTGTTGTGTGTGTGTGTTTTTGCCAGCACCTGTGGGGACCAGTCCATGCAGGTGACGATGCGGTGCTTGCACCAGTGCTCGTCGTAGAACTGCCGCTGCATGGACAGCTTCACGCCCGCCTGCATCTCCCTGCACGCAGCGAGGGCCGCCAAGTACTCTGATCATTATTATTATTATATCAGATATTTTTCCATTTCAAACCTTTCGTGACTGCAGGGATTCATATTCTTGGTTCTTTTTTCTACGCGACTTTACCGAAAGAACCAAGAATATATATCAGATATTATATAGTTATTATTTATTTAGGATCGTTCACTCAGCAAAGTCTCACCGAGTCATTTCAGGAAAGTCCTGCTAGGTCTTTCAAAGTTTGGTCTGCAAAGAATTCATTAAATTATGCAAAAAACTGAATCAACCAAACGCTTCACCGATACAGCCGAGGGCTCGGAGGCTTGCTCCCGTCTAGCTATCGTGGCCGTGCCCACCGTTGTCGCCTGTTCACGGACGGCGTCCACGTGCGTCTCCAAAACGAAACCGGAAGAAAAAGTTAAATAACTTAGCAGTACCGAGGCTCCCACAAGGCCATGCGGGAGGGCGTGTGGCACAGTTTGGCGCCAGGTATCGTAGAGCGCGGTCGTGTCGCTACGCTTCTCTGCGGTGAGCACGTGGTTAAAAACAAAAGCGCTACTACGCCTCTCTAAATAAAAGGTAAGCCGAGCCGTTTGCGTGTTCCGAGATTCAGCGGTGAGCAGGACACCCGTCCTGTAACTTGCAGATGTCTCGGAACGGGAAAGGGTTAAACAAAAGCTTTGCTGGCTGGCTGGAGGGAGCAACGGACCGGTCACGTCCAAAGGACGTGGGGGCCTGCTAGTCTCAATAAATACCAAACCTGCATTCTAGAAAGGGATGAGCGCATTTGTGTACAATGGCGCTAGCTTAACATCGCATCTCAAGGTTGTAAGCAGCACCTGCAAATGGGATGCTGGCGGGGGCGGTGGCGACATACGACGGATGGATAAAACACAAACTATGCAGCCGTGCATGACGACGATAAAGACGATGATATTCCACCATTGGTACCTCATTTGCCAGCAAAAAATATGATAATTGGTTTTTTTACCCTCTTATCTGGCAACAAAACTGACACCTTTTTTACGAGGAGTCATGTTTGCATAGACCACAATACTTGCAGTCATAATGCAAACAAAAAACATAACTCTGATAATGTATGCACTGTCCTTGAAGTTGATTGGTCCACACCCGAGACAGCTTTCCTTAGAGCCTAGTCTCACATGGTGCTGGACCAGATGACGCAAAAAGGTGCACAACTCAAAGACAATGCACCATCAGAGTATGAGAGCTCGGGGTAAGCATTTACACCATTGGAACCTCATTTGCCAGTAAAAAATATAATTGTTTTTTTACCCTTTTATCTGGCAACAAAACTGACACCTTTTTTTTACAAGGAGTCATGTTTGCATAGACCACAATACCTGCAGTCATAATGCAAACAAAAAACAGAACTCTGATAATGTATGCACTGTCCTTGAAGTTGATTGGTCCACACCCGAGACGCCAAAAGGCGTCATCTGGTCCAACCCATGTGAGACTAGGCTCTAAGGACGATGATATTGATAACGACGATGACGACGACAACGATGGCGGCGCGCACCCCTCCTTCTCCAGGCCGTCGCGGCCGCTGTAGTCGAAGAAGATGTCGCCCTCCTCGGCGAGCGCACGCTCGATGATGCGCGTGCTGCGCGTGAAGAAGCCCAGGAAGTCGTGCGAGGCGAGGATCTGCTGCTTCTCTTCCTCGGTGAGCTCGTGCGTGGCAGCTGGGACGACACGGCGGCAACGCGCGGGGGCGGTTCACGGGGTGACGATTCGGGGGTGGACAGCAGTGGGGGTTGAAGGGGTAAGGGTTAGAATTCGGGGTTTGCAGAGCACGGTAAGGGGTAAGGGTTAGAGTTAGGTGTTGGCACAGCGGGGGAGAGTAGAGGTTAGGTTCAGGGTCAGGAGGTGGCTCTGTTCTGACGACCGTTCCCGCTGGTCAATCGGTGGAAGCCCATCACTGGGCACGGACGAGGCGGCGTCGAGTGCCGGGCAGCGCGAGAGTAAGGTCACCCGCGGCGACGGCTCGTTAGTAAATACGGTGACGTCGCCACCGTCACGACACCGGGGCGGAGGGGGACACGGTGCGCAGCCACGAGACGATAGCTCTTCGTGACGAGCTCCTCACCATCCTTCTCCTCCTCCTCCTTCTGCTCCACCAGCGCTTCGGGCTCCGAGGAGGGTTTCTGCGCCGCTACCTCCTCCTCCTCGTCCTCCTCGTCTGGCACCAGAGAGGATGAGAGAAGGCCGATGAGGGTGAGCAGCAGCAGCAGCGTGCGTGAGCACGTGACAGCGTGTGTGTACACGAGTGTGTGTGCGTGTGTCAGGCGTGTCGGGCGTGTCGGGCGTGTCGGGCGTGTCGAGCGTGTCGAGCGTGTCGAGCGTGTCGAGCGTGTCGAGCGTGTCGAGCGTGTCGAGCATGTTGAGCATGTTGAGCACCTGCGGGGTGGCTGGTGGGGAATGGCGTCTGCGTCTCCTTGGCGTAGGTGACGAGCTCCCGTGGCGGGAAGTCCACCTGCGTCACCTTGGCCAGGCCCAGCTTGTGGCCTCTCCGCCTGGGGGGGGTTGCAGCATCCCACACACAGGGCCGGCCGACGCGCGCCACAACACACCACCCAACGCACACAACACCATGCCCATCCCACACACAGGGCCGGCCGACGCGCGCCACAACACACCACCCAACGCACACAACACCATGCCCATCCCACACACAGGGCCGGCCGACGCGCGCCACAACACACCACCCAACGCACACAACACCATGCCCATCCCACACACAGGGCCGCCCGACGCGCGCCACAACACACCACCCAACGCACACAACACCATGCCCATCCCACACACAGGGCCGGCCGACGCGCGCCACAACACACCACCCAACGCACACAACACCATGCCCATCCCACACACAGGGCCGCCCGACGCGCGCCACAACACACCACCCAACGCACACAACACCATGCCCATCCCACACACAGGGCCGGCCGACGCGCGCCACAACACACCACCCAACGCACACAACACCATGCCCATCCCACACACAGGGCCGGACCACGCGCGCCACAACACACCACCCAACGCACACAACACCATGCCCATCCCACACACAGGGCCGGCCGACGCGCGCCACAACACACCACCCAACGCACACAACACCATGCCCATCCCACACACAGGGCCGCCCGACGCGCGCCACAACACACCACCCAACGCACACAACACCATGCCCATCCCACACACAGGGCCGGCCGACGCGCGCCACAACACACCACCCAACGCACACAACACCATGCCCATCCCACACACAGGGCCGGACCACGCGCGCCACAACACACCACCCAACGCACACAACACCATGCCCATCCCACACACAGGGCCGACCGACGCGCGCCACAACACACCACCCAACGTACACAACACCATGCCCATCCCACACACAGGGCCGGCCGACGCGCGGCACAACACACCACCCAACGCACACAACACCATGCCCATCCCACACACAGGGCCGACCGACGCACGCCACAACACACCACCCAACGCACACAACACCATGCCCATCCCACACACAGGGCCGGCCGACGCATGCCACAACACACCACCCAACGCACACAACACCGTGCCCATCCCACACACAGGGCCGACCGACGCACGCCACAACACACCACCCAACGCACACAACACCATGCCCATCACACACACAGGGCCGGCAGACGCGCGCCACAACACACCACCCAACGCACACAACACCATGCCCATCCCACACACAGGGCCGACCAACGCACGCCACACCAAGCCGTGCCATCCAATGCACACAACACCATGCCCATCCCACACACAGGGCCGACCAACGCACGCCACAACACACCAACCAACGCACACAACACCATGCCCATCCCACACACAGGGCCGACCAACGCACACCACACCAAGCCGTGCCATCCAACGCAAGCAACACCACGTCACCCGACACACAGAGCCGGTCGATGCAACACGCCACACCGCACCATATCACCCAACGCACACAACACCACGTCACCCCACACCGCAACCATGCCACGCACACACACCAACGGCGCCACACGACCCAACACACATCGACACACACAGAGACCACCGCACCATCCCACACACGCAGCACCACACCACCACACAAAGACACAGTAAAGCACGATCCCACACACACACACACCACCGACAAACACACAACACCATGGAGTTAACAACAGTCATAATGTCTTTTCCACCCCAGCTCTTCACGTATTTTATCTTTAGCCATGGGACTGTTTCGCCGAAAAAAAGTGGCTTAAAAAGTTTGTTTTGATATCGTCCTGCTGACGATCCAGGTCACCCTCGCAAAGGAGACTCAGCATCTCGCTTTGGGTGCTCACCTGGGTGAAATAAAGGTAACTGACGAGTCAGGCACAAGTGACCGTTGTGGATATGAAAAAAAATCGCGATTATCCGAGTCGCGTCATAATAACGCCATCAGTACTAAAACGAAACTCTTTGTTTTTTACCAGGTACGGCGCACTGAGCTATACATCTCGTTTCCAGAAGCGACCTGGCAATAAATGACAGCCCAATGAAGTGTCTCATCACGTGGAAATATATAGCAGCCAAATACTCTGAACGCGTGATGTCGATTCTAAATTTGGAGGGAAAAACCGTAGGACCCGGAGAAAAATCCAAGCGACCACGGGGAGAAAGAGAGACACGCAAAACTCGAAATATACAGCAGGCGTCAGGGTCGGGGATGAAACCCACGACTTCCTGCATACCAGGCGAGGTAGTTAACAACTGGGCACCGTGGCGTCAGCAATGGGGGCATCGCGTCGGCGAGCGGCGTTAGAAGCGGACGCCACAAAACTCCTCCTGAGGGCCACTTCAAAATGCCTCTCTCGTTGGCACGCCACACGCTCCGCAGAGGTCGTCTGGCGCTGTGTGCTCTCTCGTCGCTTGGAGTCTGTGGTCTCTCGCAGCCAAGCAACGGCAGATCACATGACCTATATATTTATTTTTTTGAGCGGAACAGTGCCAAAGCCTACGAGCGGTGAAAAACGCATTCTTCACCTGCGCCGTCACCAACTGCAACTCCACTACACGACAGGAATGAGCGATGTTGAACGAGCGCGTCAAAGCGATGGAAACTAAATGCCTTTTGCCGGCGGTGGCAGCTCTTGCACAAAACGCCGGGATGCCGAGCAACTGCGGCACGAATGAAAATACTAAAGCGCAAATTTTAATATTAAATGCGTCGTTAAACACCCCCACCACCCGACACAGCCAATGAGTGAAGTTTTGGCAAGTAAACAAAACGTGCCAATTAGTTACCAGTTCAGCACTCACCGGTTGTGCGTTGGGAGGGTAAACCCACAACAACATTTACAATTCGAGTACCGTGACGTTACGCCAGTCATTACAGCAAAAAGCCTCATCCGGCGACAGCCTGAATTGTGGGGAAATTCCTCCCGTTTCGGTCTTAAATCGAGGTGGGGGGTAAATGTGACGTAGTCACTTGTGAGCCAATCAGGCGCGAAGACCAGAGGGGACGTGGGGGGGGGGTGTTAATGTATTACATGTGAAGCAAGGCTAATGAAGACCAACAACGCCAAGCTGGTGCGCGTCCAGCGAAGCGTCGCAGCCAGGGAGAGAACAAGCTACAAATACAGGAAGCCTGATCACGTGGGCCACGTGTGTGCGTGTGCCATGTGCGAGCCGGCCCTTCTCGGTGGGCAACACGGCAAGAACGAAGGAGCGGGTAAGAGAGAGAACGCGCAGATGAGAGGAGAGAGAGATAGCCAGTGGGTGAAAGAGTGAGGTAGGTGAGAGAGAGTGAGGCGGGTGAGATGACAGTGGGTGAGAGAGAGTGGGTGAGAGAGAGTGGGTGAGAGAGAGTGGGTGAGATGACAGTAGGTGAGAGTGGGTGAGAGAGTGGGTGAGAGAGAGTGAGGTGGGTGAGATGACAGTGGGTGAGAGAGAGTGGGTGAGAGAGAGTGAGGCGGGTGAGATGACAGTGGGTGAGAGAGAGTGGGTGAGAGAGAGTGAGGCGGGTGAGAGAGAGTGGGTGAGAGAGAGTGGGTGAGAGAGAGTGAGGCGGGTGAGGGAGAGTGGGTGAGAGAGAGTGGGTGAGAGAGAGTGGGTGAGAGAGAGTGAGGCGGGTGAGATGACAGTGGGTGAGAGAGAGTGGGTGAGAGAGAGTGAGGCGGGTGAGAGAGAGTGGGTGAGAGAGAGTGAGGCGGGTGAGAGAGAGTGGGTGAGAGAGAGTGGGTGAGAGAGAGTGAGGCGGGTGAGGGAGAGTGGGTGAGAGAGAGTGGGTGAGAGAGAGTGGGTGAGAGAGTGGGTGAGATTAGAGTGGGTGAGAGAGAGTGGGTGAGAGAGAGTGAGGCGGGTGAGATGACAGTGGGTGAGAGAGAGTGGGTGAGTGAGAGTGAGGCGGGTGAGATGACAGTGGGTGAGAGAGAGTGGGTGAGAGAGAGTGGGTGAGAGAGTGGGTGAGATTAGAGTGGGTGAGAGAGAGTGGGTGAGAGAGAGTGGGTGAGAGAGAGTGAGGCGGGTGAGATGACAGTGGGTGAGAGAGAGTGGGTGAGAGAGAGTGGGTGAGAGAGTGGGTGAGATTAGAGTGGGTGAGAGAGAGTGGGTGAGAGAGAGTGAGGCGGGTGAGATGACAGTGGGTGAGAGAGAGTGGGTGAGAGAGAGTGAGGCGGGTGAGATTAGAGTGGATGAGAGAGAGTGGGTGAGAGAGAGTGGGTGAGAGAGAGTGGGTGAGAGAGTGGGTGAGATTAGAGTGGATGAGAGAGAGTGGGTGAGAGTTAGGGAGAGGGCGAGCGGGCGAGACAGTGCGAGAGTGCGTGGCGACCCGAGTTCGATTCCCGCTCACGGCCAACAGCAGTAACATTTATCTGAACCGGTTTTGGGCCTCCCCTCGGTCGACCTTAGCCCCAAATGAGTACCTGGTTGCAGTGTGTAAACACCACCACTAGGAAGACAAGGACGGCAAGGCGTGGTGCTAGCCACATGTGCCATGCCACCCTTCACAGCTGCTCACGAACAGCACTTTCCCCAAAAGTATGTTAAGGCTATACGGGGGACTTTTATCTTTGAGAGTGGGTGAGTGAGTGCGAGTGGGTGGCAGAGTGAGTGGGTTGGACGTGCGAGTGTGAGAAAAGCAGCGGTGAGGCAGCGAGAGAGGGAGCAACGGCCGAGAGTACAAGCAAGCGCAGAGGTGCGCGAGTGAACGGGTGGGAGAGAACGAGCGGGTGAGAGGGAGCAAGCGAGCGAGCGATGGGATTGCGAGGGAGAGCGAGTGAGCAGGTGGAAGTGAGTGAGCAGGCGTAAGAGAGCCGGCAGGAGAGGGTGGTGGGCGAGTGGCAGGGAGCGAGGCGAGTAAGCGGCGGGAGGGAGCGAGCGATACCCTGACTCAGAGTCTGCGAGGAGCTGTAAAACCGTGGGGTCAGAGTCCCACTGCAGGGTCCTTCCGTGCGCAGCGTGAAAACGTAACCGCAGGGTTAGTGGGTTAGTAGAGCGGCGCAAAAACACTCGCAGCAGCAGCAGCAGCACAAACAAAGACAAAGACCCCACCCCGCATAGCCTTAACAGACTGTTGGGACAAGTGCTGTTAGTGAGCACCTATGAAGGCCGGAACGGCACACGAGGGGACACGGACACACAAATACATAGACGTGCACATCGAGACACGGACACACAGAGAAACAGGCGTACTCAGATGCAAAGACAAAGATCCCCCGTAAAGCCTGGAACAAACTGTTGGGGGAAGTGCTGTTAGCGAACACCTATGAAGGCTGGAAAGGCACACGAGGGGGTGGGTGGCCAGCACCACGCCCGGCCGCCTTGGTCTCCCGAGGGGCGATGTTTACACGCCGCACTAGGTACTCATTTAAGACTGAACCGACCTAGGGGAGGCCCAGGACCTGTGCAGATATTCGTCACTGGTGTTGGCCGTGAGTGAGAATCAAACTCGAGTCGTCTGGTTCGTAGCGCAGGGCTAACCGCTACGCTACACACACACAGACAAGACTCGTTACGCAGAACGGAAGCGTTCGGTCGCTGCACCGGTCTGCCCAGATTACGGTGCCTCGCGTTTCCAAAACACCGAGCAGTGACCACCGCCGTAGCCATTGACAAACGCCGCCGTCTAACGCAGATCACAACAACGTCGGCTCGGTCGGAGGAGAGGGAACGTGCATTTGGCATTCTTCTTCGTCCGGCTCATGCTGACGTAGAGTGGCAGCTGCAATTTTACGTCGAGGTGACGGATGAGCCGGATTTCGTGCGGAGTCAGGAGTGGGCAAAGTGATGAGTCATCGCTGCTGTGACGATGCCTCCCTCGTTCCTTCGTATTTGTGAATCGAGTCGTTGTATCGTCATTATATGTTCGTCGAATTAGGTATTAATTTGCCAGCATTTACCTCTTCATGCACACATGGTTGCCTAGTACATCGTCTTGACATGCCCTTGCATTCAGACGATGATGGTGATAAATCATTATAAACTACTTTTTTTATTTTACAAGGTAAGGCCCACTGAGCTGTATAACTCAGAAGTGACCTGGCCATAAATGATAGCCCAATGAAGTGGCTTATCACGCGTAAATTTATAGCACCCAAAAACTCTAAACGCGTAATGCTGATTCTAAATTTGGAGGGAAAAACCGAAGGACCCGGAGAAAAATCCATGCCAACACGGGGAGAAAGACAACGCAAACTCCAAATATACAGACATCGTCAGGGTCGGGATCGAACCCACGCCCTCCTGCATAACAGGCGGGGGAGTTAACATCTCCTCGCCACCGCGGTGCCATGAATACAGTCCAACAAAAAACCCCACCATCGACACGGCGCGGGGAGGCCTTCATCCAGCAGTGCATTGACAATGGCCTGTGAGAGTGACAATGCAGGCTGAGCATTGTGGGATGGCGAGTGGGACGGGGCTCCGGTACCTTCCGGCGGCCACCGTCTCCATGGACTCCTGGCTGCCGGCCTCGCTGGGCGTGCTCACCGCCTTGGACAGCGTCGGCGAGTCCTGCACCGAGGCTGTGGACAGATGCACGCGGTCACGCGGGGAGCAAATGGAGAGCACACAAGCGCAAAGCACACGCGCAGAGAACACACGCGCGGAGCACACACACGCAGAGTACACACACGCGCAAAGCACACGCGCGGAGCACACACCCGCGGAGCACACACACGCAGAGTACACACACATGGAGCAGGCACACGTGGAGCACACGCACGCAGCACACACGCGGTGCTCACAGGCACGGAGCACACACGGGGTGCACACACGCACGCAGCACACACGCGGTGCTCATAGGCACGGAGCACACACGGGGTGCACACACGCACGCAGCACACACGCGGTGCTCACAGGCACGGAGCACACGCACGCAGCACACACGCGGTGCTCACAGGCACGGAGCACACACGGGGTGCACACACGCACGCAGCACACACGCGGTGCTCACAGGCACGGAGCACAAGCGTGGTACACACACGCGCGGAGCACACGCAAAGCACGCGAGCAATGGATAAATATCGTTTGCAGGCAATTGAGAACTGGCTGGCCTCATGTGGTCACGGTCCGTATGAAATAGGCTTTATGAATTTAAGACATGGGCCATATGAATTTAAGACGTGATCCGGATGAAATTTAGTCGAAGGCCGTATGAAGTGACGACGTTGGCTGTGCGAAATGAAGTTGTGGGGGCAGCATCCAGGCCCAAGGGCCCCAGGTCCACCCCAGGACTCATCATCACCGAGGAGAGGGAGGGAGGTGTTGCTGGTGGGTTGCGTACACAGCGGGGCATCGGCGGGAATCCCCATGCTCTGCAGGAGGGCGTCCGTCTCCCTTCGCTTCTTTTCCAGATCCGACTCATCGGGCGCCGGCTCCTTCTTGACGTCCACCTGCACAGGACACCGGCAACGGCGCCAGAAAAACACCCAGAGTTGGCACGGCAGCTCAGGAGACACCGAGCCGGCAGCAAGCCGAGAAGCCTGCGGTTTGAATGCAGGTTTCGGCTATTCGCGGTTTTACACACGGGTTCTCGATGGTCACAGACCACCCCTCCGCCCCGTGGCAAACGACCGCGTTCAGGATTCTTTCACTCAAATTCGCCTCGTTCCACGTGACGCGCACACACAGAGCGCGACGCACTACTCGTGAACGGGAATGTCTTCGACATGAAGCAGACTGCACAATTGGAATAAAAAATTGTCACGAGCCGTAGAGGTTCTCCTCCTCCGCGCCAGTCTCACCTCCTTCTTCTTGCGCTCCTCTTCCTTGCGCTTCTTCTCCTCGCGGATCTGCGCCAGCCGCTGCTTCTTGCGCTCCAGCTCCGCCTTCAGCTCCGCTTTGTCCGACATCGTCACCGTCTATTCCTGTCACTCGGCACGGGCGAGAGGGAGGACGCGGAGACGGAGGTTCCGGGTTGAGTGGCGGTGAGGGTGACGCAGAGAGGGGGAGATCACAGGGAGAGAGAGGAGAGGAGACGCACAGAGACATCCCCTTGCGTTATTCGGATCAAGGTCTCCCTGTCCCTCTGCTAAACATGAGCTCAACCTATGAGACATCTCCTTTACCAGTGGCAAAATAGAGTAATAGGTTTTTACCCTTTCAACTGGTACAAAAACTGACACCTTTATACAAGGCATCATGTACCAATCAACTTCAAGGACAGTGCATATCATAATCATTATCAGAGTTGTTTCTTTTTGTTTGCATTTTGACTGCTTGTGTTGTGGTTATTGGAAACATGATGCCTTGTATAAAGGTGTCAGTTTTTGTACCAGTTGAAAGGGTAAAAACCTATTACTATAGGAGCTCAACCAGCGGTGGAAATTACACGTTCCCAAAATGGTGGCCCCAGTCACGTCATGGAATGATCATCGCTGGCCTAAATTTAAGGCGATGAATCTCACCGATTCAACACGTAAGCTTTCGTGACCAACATTATCAATAATAGTTGTCGTCTGATGATGCTGGGTGTAATTACTGGCGAAGCGTCGTACTCGAATTGTAAATGTTGTGGGTTCACTCTCCGACACCTCGGTGTGCTGAACTAGTGTAGAGGAGTACAATGGGGATGTGACGTCAGGTGTGCCGTTCAGTGCGATGACGTCACGTCTCCTAGGGTACTTAAGGGAGACCCCGTGACGTGAGCGGGGTCACTGTGGGAACGGGTAGAGTACGAAGGGTGAAGAGGGAACCAGTGGGTAGAGAGAGGGATCGAGTAGTGAGTCTGGGGAGAAGCCGGTGGTAGTAGCCGTAGAGGTGCTTCTCTCTCCGCTCGGTGGAGTCGGCAAAGTCCACGATCCGACACGAGAGAGAGAGACCGGAGCTAGCCGGCAGGGACCCGGACTCAGAGTAGGACCCCTAGCCCCTGGGAGTTGTGTACCCTGCTGTGTTATTGATAAGCTTTAATAAACCCTGGCGGAAGCCCTTAACTTACCTCCGTCTCCGAGTACGTCCGTCGGAACTTCTCTACACTCGTATTGAATTTGCACGTTTTATTTAATTGGCTGTGTCGGGCAGTGGCGGGTTCAACGACTTATTTATATTCACGCGATCTAACCAAAAAAAACCTCGATTATGGATAATCTAAACTATGTATTGCGTTGTTAAATAAAGACAACCCGTATGAAAGGTTTAATAAAGACAATCCTATCATAAAAGGGCTGCAACGAGGGTAAACCCATCTCACTGTGGCACCCGCAGTTAAAAACTATGAATCTCAATGGAGCCACACACGGTTAGATGAGGACAATGAATCTCACTGTTGGCAAAGGGCAAACCTCGTGGCTGTTTTGACATTCATCAATAAGAATAAGCCGTCACAAGATTACATGAAGTCGTAAAAAAAAACACCATACGATGAAATAAAGGCACATAACGTGACCGCGAGTACGGTCTCACTGCTCGCAATATATAAATTAAGAAAATCTCAATTAAGGAATTCTCAATGTGGCTTAATTGTATCGACCCAATGCTCGTTGAAGCCATACATTATGAATGACAGTTGAAGACAGTATCACAGTATTAAAATAAAGTCTTTCACTTCGGCCAAATCGAATGTAATGGTTAAAGACATTTAGACCATTGTTGTTATCGCCAAAGAATCTCATTGTAGAATTAAAGTTGGCCTAATGAGTTAAAGGCAGCTTCGCATTTGTTAAACTAAACTACGTTTATTTTACCAGGTAAGGCCCGCTACGCTACGTAAATCTTTTTCAGAAGCGTCCTGGTCATCACAAATGATAGCTCAACTTAGTGACTTTTCACGTGGAAATGTATAGCAGCTAAACACTTAAACGCGTGATGTGGATGCTAAATATGGAGAAAAATCGGAGGACCCGGAGAAAAATCGGCACGACCACGGGGTGAGAGAAAAACAAAACTCCACATTTTGCAGCAGGCGTCAGGGTTGGGATCGAACCCACGACCTCCTGCATACCAGGCGAGGTAATTAACATCTCCTAGTAACCGTGATGATGATGATGAGAGACACGCAAACTACAAATATACAGCAGGAGTCAGGGTTGGGATTGAACCCACAGCCTCCTGCATAACATGCGAGGGAGTTAACATCTCCTAGCCACCTTGATGATGATGAGAGAAAGAGACACGTAAACTCCAAATATACGGCAGCAGGCGTCATGGTCGGGATCGAACCCACGACCCCCTCCATACCAGGCGAGGTAGTTAACGTCCCCTAGCCACTGTGATGATGATGAGAGAGAGACACGCAAACTTCAAACATACAGCAGGCGTCAGGGCGAGGATAGAACCCACAGCCTCCTGCATACCAGGCGAGGGAGTTAACATCTCGCCATCACGGTTAAATAAATACATTTAGCGAATTTCTGGTTGAACACATTCTAACACTGGTTAAATAAAGACGCACCGTGGTTAAAAAAAAGTAATTTTCGCCCACTGCTAAAGGCGTGGTTAAATACAGTATTGTCCGCCCCTGTGGTGTGTGACTGTCACACCACGGGGTTCGCAGTCAATATCTTAAGCACGCCAGTCAGTGGTTAAAAAAGGGCAGTGTCGTGGCCAATGCATGCGTTGGGTCAAATAAACACCAGGTTGAATAAAGGGCCGTCTCGGGGTAATGATACGCAGTGGTCAATGAAGAATAATCCCACGGGCAAATGACAGGCGATGGTTAAATAAAGGAGTGGTCAAATAAAATGGTTAAATAAAGAGAAGCTACGTGGTAATAACAAGCATTGGTTAAACTAAGCAGTGGTCAAAGAAAACGGTTAAATACAGGACAGCCTCACGGCAAAGGCATTCGATGGTTAAATAAAGCAGTGGCCAAATAAAATGGTTAAATAAAGGGCAGCCCCGGCGTGCAATGGTTAAATATGGAGTGGTTAAATATGGGATTGGCGCGGCAACGCGATGGTTAAACAAGCGCGGTGGTTAAATAAAGGCCGGGGCGTCACGATGGCGTTGTCGGGCAGAGGCTAAGCAATTGACGAGAGAGAGAGCGGAGTGGCTACGAAATAAAGGAGGAGAGGGCACCCGTGGGCGAGTGAACCGGAGGAGGGAGGAGGAGGAGGACGATTGGGTCCGGGGCCAGAGGGCCGCGAAACGAACCTGCGAAACTCCTCGCAACGCGACGTCTCTCGTGAAGAGCGAGCACCGTCAACAACAACAACACCACCACAACAACACAACAACAACACAACAACAGAGTACACAACAACAACACAACGCGCCACAACGGGGACGCGAAGTGCCACAACTGACACCGCCCGTCCCACCTCAAGATGGAGAAACACTGTACCTCTGCCGCTTCTGGAAGGCGTCTGCCGCTTCTGGAAGACGTCTACCGCTTCTGGAAGAATGTCTACCGCTTCTGGAAGACGTCTACCGATCATGGAAGATGTCTACCAATCATGGAAGATGTCTACCGCTTATGGAAGATGTCTACCAGTTATGGAAGACTGCTACCGCTCACGGTTAGATTGTCTACCACTTATGGAATACATCTACCGCTGACGGAAGATGTTTACCACTTATGGAAGAGTGCTACTCTTTCCGGAAGACGCCTTATGGAAGATGTCTACCGCTTCTGGAAGACGTCTTCCGCTTCTGGAAGATGTCTTCCGCTTCTGGAAGACGTCTTCCGCGGCGTCGGTAATCAATCTTCCGGCAGACGTTCACAACTTCTTGAACGAGGTGGCGGGTGGTGTTTGTGGTTAAAGACGTCTTCTGGAAGTGAAATATCTCTTCCGGAAGATTCTACCGAGATCCCCCAACAACCCCCCAAAAAAACGGCGTGACGAGGTCAAACGGTGGAGGGCGGAGGGGTGGGGGCCTCGAATTTTATTTCCTAGAGCGGATGAGGTCGCAATGCCGAACGTTCGCGCTTCCCCATTGGTCGAGGGCTGCGCACGCGCACGGCTATTTGACCAATGGGACGCCGCCGATCGCTTACCGGCGCTGGCAAATACAAAAGGCCGCGTGACGTTTTTTTAAAGGGACGGCGTGCAAAGTGTCCTTAAATTCGCCTTCACAACGTAGACGCTCGTTTGTAATAAACTTTTATATACACAACTTTCATATATATATACACAACTTTCATATATATATACTGTACACACAAAGGCGCTATCGAGTGCCGAGGTAACCACAGTAACAAGGTTAACCCCAGCCCCCCAGCCCGTTATCCACACGCAAGCCACATCGCCCACAGTAAGGCCCGCGCCTACGTTTCATAACGCATCGGGATGCACCCTTCAATATTAGTTTTGTGTCTCTGTGTGTCTCTGTGTTGTGTCTCTCTGTGTGTCTCTTTGTGAGTCTCTGTGTGTCTATGTTGTGTGTGTGTTGTGTGTCTCTCTGTCTCTGTGTTGTGTGTCTCTCTCTGTGTGTCTCTTTGTGAGTCTCTGTGTGTCTATGTTGTGTCTCCCTGTGTGTCTGTGTTGTGTGTCTCTCTGTATGTCTATGTTGTGTGTCTCTCTGTGTGTCTGTGTTATGTCTCTCTCTGTGTCTGTGTGTCTCTCTCTGTGTTGTGTGTCTCTCTCTGTCTGTGTGTCTGTGTTGTGTCTTTCTCTGTGTATCTATGTTGTGTGTCTCTGTTGTGTCTCTCTGTGTTGTGTGTCTCTCTCTGTGTGTCTATGTTGTGTGTCTCTCTCTGTCTATGTTGTGTCTCTCTATGTGTGTCTGTGTTGTGTGTATCTCTCTGTGTGTATATGTTGTGTGTCTCTGTGTGTCTGTGTTGTGTCTCTCTCTCTGTGTCTGTGTGTCTCTCTCTGTGTGTCTGTGTTGTGTGTGTCTCTCTGTGTTGTGTGTCTCTCTCTGTGTGTCTATGTTGTGTGTCTCTCTCTGTCTATGTTGTGTCTCTCTATGTGTGTCTGTGTGTCTGTGTTGTGTGTATCTCTCTGTGTGTATATGTTGTGTGTCTCTGTGTGTCTGTGTTGTGTGTCTCTCTCTCTGTGTCTGTGTGTCTCTCTCTGTGTGTCTGTGTTGTGTGTCTCCCTCTGTGTGTCTGTGTTGTGTGTCTCTCTCTCTGTGTCTGTGTGTCTCTCTATGTGTGTCTGTGTTGTGTGTCTCTCTGTGTCTGTGTTGTGTGTCTCTCTCTGTGTGTCTGTGTTGTGTGTCTCTCTGTGTCTGTGTGTCTCTGTGTTGTCTCGCTCTGCTTGTGTGTCTGTGTGTCTCCGTGCCTGTGCGTCGTATTCTATTACTTAATTTATTTTCTTTCTATGTGACTTCACCGAAAGAACGAGTCTTTGTTTTCTGTTGAACAACAAAAGCAAAAATCGAACACCAAATGATTAAAATATCGGGTGGGGAGAGGGGGGCTGGTCTTTATCTTTGTGGGGGTTTGACCATATTTGACCGCGCTGGTCTCAGTGCGCCGTTGGGGAAGACGGCGAACATAGATGTTGCCACATAGTGCAGTACAACAATGGGGTTGATGCTCTGTTCGGCTTGGGGTAAAAGCCCTCATCCAGCACAGTGGACTGGCAAGGTCTGGCGTACACACCACGCTACGTGTGCTACAGATTCTTTCACCCGACAGCCAGTCAAAGGAGTTTGAATTTCTACTGGTAGGAACCTCCTGGTTACACCAGCCCACAGGGGATCATTGTGTCCGTCCGTCTTGCATCCAAAAATGGGAGGGGTGGGGCTGGGTGGAGAGGGGAGGGAGGAGCTGGTGGGGAGGGGAGGGAGGGGAGGGGCTGCGTGGGGAGGGTGGGGCTGGGTGGGGTGGGGAGGGTGGGGCTGGGTGGGGTGGGGATGGTGGGGAGGGGTGTGGGAGGGGAGGGTGGAGAGGGGCTGGGTGGGGAGGGGAGGGTGGGGAGGGGCTGGGTGGGGAGAGACTGGGTGGGGAGGGGCTGGGTGGGGAGGGGCTGGGTGGGGAGGGGCTGGGTGGGGAGGGGCTGGTCACCCCGTGGTGCCCTTATAAAACTCAACGTTTAGCCTACTCACGCCGGCTTGTGCCCGCCCTCACAGTCGGGCATATTTGCGGAATACACCACGCCGCCGTTGACCCTGGCCATTGACCGAGCAACCCGACGTTCCTACCAGCTCCCTCCGCAGGAATGTGTTGTGTCTGCTTGTACATGTCCACGTCGTGATGTGAGCCACTTTGGTGAGCTCATCGCGTGCGATATCCGGGTCGCTTCTGAAACAGAGCTGTAGCTCGGTGAGCCTTACCTGGTAAAATAAGGAAAAACAATTCGACTTAAAACTTTCGTGACTGCAGGAGTTCATATTCTGGGTTCTTTCGGTAAAGTCACGTAAATATATATTTTTTAAAATAAAGACGTCTGATGAAGACCGCTTGTGTTGCGATCGAAACGTCGTGGGTTTTTTGCTTTTATTATTTTCAATTTATAAAAAAAAATGTTTGACGTGACTTTACCGAAAGAACCAAGAATATAAGAAAAACATAGTTTACTTTTAGTGCCGTGGCCCTCGCTCCTAACAATGGGCTACACGGTGGCGTTGGTATTCAAATGGGTCACAACAAGCTGTGACCTTGGTATGTAGGAGGTCGTGGCTTCGGTATCGACTCTAACGCCTGCTGCTGTATATTTGGAGTGTGCGTGTCTCTCTTATCACGGTAGCTAGGAGATGTTAACTACCTCGCCTGGTGTACAGAAGGTCGTGGGTTCGATCCAGACCCTGACGCCTGCTGCATATTTGGAGTTTGCGTGTCTCTCTCTCTCATCATCATCACGGTGGCTAGGAGATGTTAACTACCTCGCCTGGTACGCAGGAGGTGGTGGGTTTGATCCCGACCCTGACGCCTGCTGCTATATGTTTGGAGTTTGCGTGTCTCTCATCTTCATCATCATCACGATGGCTAGGAGATGTTAACTACCTCGCCTGGTATACAGGGTGTCGTGGGTTCTATCCCGGACCTGACACCTGCTGCTGTATATTTGGAGTTTGCGGTGTCTCTCTCCCCGTGGTCGTGAGTTTTTTGTTTTTATAAATTTTATTTTTTATTATTTTTATTTTCTTATTATTCTATCTACGTGACTTCACCGAAAGAACCAAAGAATATGAATTCCTGCAGTCACGAAAGTTTTAGGTCACAATTGAGTATTTGGGCTGCTTGTGAATGTCCTCGTGACAATGATAAGCTGCTGCCGCCCCATTGAGATTATCGCTTTTTACAACCAGGACGCTTCTGAAATAAGTAATACTTATAAAATGTTTTTTTAAAAACACGCTTTAATGAAATGTCCTAGTAATGGCAGAACTCCACGACTCCAGGAAGTGGCCCCGAAGCTTGCCATAACGTCAGGGACCGTGGCCAATTACAGCCAACGTGAGTTGAGCGTGGACAATTAGACCCAAGCCAAAACATAACATATAAAAAATAATGTTTAAAAATATATATATATTTTATGATAGAATATATTGTTGTCATCAGTTTCACATAAGTATACCAAGTTTGCAGTCGATACCACATGGGGAAGTGGGTTAAAATTGAGTTACAAGATTTGAGGATACGACAACAACAACAGACGGAGTGAGTTCATAGAAAGCGTGTAAAAAAGATTGTTAAAAATATTTTTTTATGATAGAATATAGTATTGTCATCAGCATGACATAAGCATACCACGTTTGCAGTCGATACCACATTGGGAAGTGGGTTAAATTTAGCTACAAGATTTGAGGATACAACAACAACAGACAGAGTGAGTTAAATAAAAAAAAAGCGTGTAAAGATCTGCGATGCACAAGTGGCTCTTATAACCCTGCTGAAATGAATAGTTTAGATGGAAATCTTGGTGCACCACATCCTCCACGTTTGCCGAGTGTCTCGTTGCCACCACAAGGTGGCGCTCATTGCAAAGCCTCAAACTCAAGGTGGTTCAACCTCGACCTGTGCACGTGTAAGTCGCCTACCACGTGGTTGTACAGATAGTCCCCGAGTTACGATATTTCGATCTTACGATGGCGATACGACAAAATTGTAAAATGCAGACGACGGACAGAATTTTGGTGAATACAGTACAATATGATACGTTACGATACGTATGATACGTAGCTTTAGCGATTTCATTTTAGGGTTACCACGATACGATACGTTCAATGCATGTTTAAAGTTTTTTATTTATTTAGCAGATAGGATTGTTTCCTGAAAAAACGTTCTATTAAATTGCAGTTCATATAGGTAGGCTAAGAATTTACCTTGTTTTTTACTTTACATTTTACTGTGCAATACAGTATTGTAATTCATAAATACATACAGTATATAGTTTATACAGTACGGTACTGTATATTGCTCTGTTTTGCTAAATTATCCCCATTCTTTAAGACTCCTGGGTAGGCTAGGCCATCTTCGACTTACGATATTTTCGACTTACGATGGGGTCGTCGTAACGCATCTCCATCGTAAGTCGAGGACTACCTGCATTGTAATGAATTACGGTAATTCATTGCGGATATTAGGGGTGTCTTCCCAATATTCGGGTTTATTATTTAAAAAAAGACGAAAATATCAGGACTTAAAAGCGGATTATATCGAATGATTCGGGGGGGGGGGGGCAATGTTTTGTTTCGGATTTATGTGTGAAATAATCCCGTTCCAGGAAGTATACTATCGACTCCGTCTACAGTACTGAATTAGCACACTTCACAGCAAAGTGGAAGATGACATTAAAGATAATCCACGGTTGCGACATCGTGGTCATGCGACCCAAACTTTGTAAATCCATAGAGACCCATCGGGACTCGTAGAAATCCATATAAAAACAAAGAAACCCCGTAGAGATACATGAATCAGGACCTGTACATTATTGAGACTGCAGGAATCCGATGAGCTATAAAGCTATTTTATTCACAGGTGTGCAGGGTGGGCGGGTCACCGAGTTACAACATCCAAACAATACAACAAAAACACGACAAGGGGTACAAAATAGTGAAAATGGTAAGCGAGTCACTAAATATAAATACTTGTTTAATTTTTTTCGTAAGTCCGATTTATCAAGCTTAGGGAAGGCAGCAAAAACAACAACAGTCCCAGAGCACACACCAAAATAACAACGCAAGCCACAGTGCGAATTTGGCCACGCAACCCAAACTATGAACCACCAGGTGACCCGCTGTAGTCTACGGAGGAGCAGGATGAACGGCGACACGACACAAACTCTCTCTCTCTCTCTGCTGAAGCTCTCTCATCGTGGCCAGCAGCAGAGGCATCGAGCTTCTGAACCACATTGCCCTGCGTAGAAGACAGACATACATACACAGTGACTAATAACACATTCCTGCGGAGGGAGCTGGTAGGAACGTTGGGTTGCTCGGTCAATGGCCAGGGTCAACGGCGGCATGGTGTATTCCGCATGAGGGCGGGCACAAGCCGGCGTGAGTAGGTTAAACGTTGAGTTTTATAAGGGCACCACGGGGTGACCAGCCCCTCCCCAACCAGCCCTACCCCTCCCACCCCCCACCCAGCCCCACCCTCCCCACCCAGCCTCTCCCCACCCTCCCCACCCAGCCCCTCCCCACCCTCGGGGGGCAGGGGGTCAGTGAAGTTACAAACAGCAGAACGATACAAACAAAACGATAGGGGGTACACAAATATACAAGATGGTAAAGTGACTACATCATTAGACCTCCTTTGCCAGTACCAAAGTATAATAATATTATTGGCAAAGGAGATCTAATGATGCAGATGCTCACCCCGAGCCCTCATTACTCTGATAGTGCATTGTATTTGAGCTGTGTATGCCTTTTGGCGTCCTCTGGTCTAGCACCAATTGAGGCGAGGCTCAAAAGAAAGCTGTCTCTGGTGTGGACCAATCCGTTTCAAGGACAATGCATATATTATCAGAGTGTGTTTTTTGTTTGCATTTTGACCACAAGTATTGTGGTTAATGAACACATGATTCCTTGTAAAAGGTTTCAGTTTTGTTGCCAGAAAAAAGGGGAAAACCCTATTATTATTATTATTATGGTAAAGCGAGTCACTAAATATGAATACAGGGACTCGTTCGGTTCCAGAGGTCTGTACGTAAGTCGATTTGTTCGTAAGTCCAACTTTACTCCTGCCGATTCCAAACACGTTGTACGGCGTGTACACTAAACAAGGCGAATGGCTTTAAAAGTGTCATATTCTGTAGATGTAGATGCCACTGGTTCTTCATGTTCTACAGATAGAGATGCGACGACCACTGTCTATTGCGCGGCGGTTGAACTTACGACTCTCGGTCCAAACAGGCAACTGGACATACGGACCAGGTTTGTTCGCATCTCTGCAAATTCGTAAGTCGAATGTTCGTAAGTAGAGGACTCCCTGTACGTAATCAATTCAGCGGGGAGAGCGAGTTGTAATCGGAGGTGCGCCTCCTTTTCTGCCGTCCGTCCAGGGTCAACGCCGGACAGGAGATGCCGGCGGTGCGGCATGTGACGCGCGTGCGCTCCCTCTACCGCCGGCTGCTGCAGCTGCACCGCCACCTCCCCGTGGAGCTGGCGGAGCTGGGCGACCGCTACGTGAAGGACGAGTTCCGGCGCAACAAGACGGCCGGCCCGCGCCTCGCCGAGCAGTTCCTCGCCGAGTGGGAGGCGAGTTTTTCCCGTCGGCGACGTTGCCGCCACCACCGTTGCCACCACCACGATCGCCAGTACCGCCGCCACCACCACCACCACCATTACTCGCACATTGTTGCTACCACCACTACCACCGCCATCACCGCCGCCACCATCACTCAAACATTGCCACCACCGCCATCACTGGCACCGCCACGATCACCAATACCAAGAGCCACCATTCGCTACTAAGTGACGGTGACGTCACCACGGCATCTGTGCTAGGCCAGATGCACTTCGAGGCCACGTGAAACATCGAAGGCTCGCTGGCAGGAGGTCACGGGACAGACCCAGCAGGTGCCATGGGTTGACTAACTGAGATGACTGGTAGATGCACAAAGCTGTTCCCCCTACTGTGCCGACTTGCTGTTTTAGCCGCCAGGCGCTCAGCTCGTTGGTGTGAGCGTCGCTCCTCCGCCCTCCGTTGCTGGAGGGAAACTGCTTCCAACTGCCCAGTAGCTTCCTTCATGAGCTTCCTCCACAGAGGCCGATCTGGTATATGAGTCATTGGCAAGTCCACTCAGATCCATATACTCTCGTGCCACATCATTCCATCTCTTCTCTAGCCCGTGCCGTGCCTGTTTTTTCCCCTCTGTCCGGCCAAACAAAAGCTGTTTGGGCATGCGGTGGTTTGGTAAGCGGGCTACATGACCCAGCCAACGCAGCCTTTCCTGCTGGAGGAGCTCACCGATGGAACTGTGTCCAGATCTTTCAAGGATTTGTGAGCTCCTCCAACAATCCAGCCTGGTTAAACCCAGGATCGTAGGCAGGCCATCCTTAATGTTTCTAACCGGCGTAGATGTTATATTAGGGGTGTCCACGTTTCGCAAGCATAACCATGGTCGAGAAGACCTGAAGCTTTGTGTGGAGCGACAGACCAGGTAGCTTCTACACGGCATTACGCTGCCAATGAAAAGACAATGCCGCTCGATTGATTCGGAGTGAGACCTCTGCTGCCAAACTGAAACTGGTCATAAGCACATTGCCAAGGTATGGAAACTTCTCCACTCCCTCCACAACTGCCCCGCCAACAGGGGGTTGAGTGGGTGGAGTCTTTGATGGCAAAATACCCAGGCAGGTGCTTAGTTTTGGAGGGGCTGATGGTAAGGCCCCACTTCTTAGTAGCACGCTCCAGGTTCAGCAGCAGCACCTCCAACTCCTCTGAGTGAGCAGCAATCGCCGGATCATCAGCATACATTACATCCCTCGATCACACCCGGACATTGATCAGCCTCCCATTGTATCTGTACTAGATGGAGATTCCTCTGGTACAGCCATGGAAAGTGTATATCACTACGTGGTCGACAAATATGTTAAATAATGTCGGAGCCAAAGGACATCTCTGTCGCACTCCATGGTGAACAGTGAATGGCTCTGACTTCCAGCCACGTAGCTTTACCCGAGTCTGCTCACCATCATGAATTTCCTTAATGATTGTGAGCAGAGAGTCAGGGACTTGGAAAGCACAAAGAACAACCCAGAGCCCAGGCCTATTGATGATAGCATAAGCCTTGACCAGGTCAATAAAGCTGAGATGTAGGTCCTGTTGGAATTCCCTACACCTCTGCTTAAGCATACGGACAGAAAATATGGTGCCTGTGCGAGACCGCCCTGGCCTGTAACCACATTGGGGCTCCGCAAGCCTCTACTCAGCCACCACCACCAGCACTCCCACCATCATCACCACCAATTCCACCGCCATCACCACCATCATAGCTGCCACCACCAGGATCACTGTAAACACAATCATGAACACATTGCTGCCACCGCCATTGCAACAATCGCCATCACCGCCACCATCTCCACCACCCCCTTCACCGCCATCGCCGCCACCACGTACCTGTCAACCCCTTATCAGTGCCTTATTACAGACGAATTCAGACCTTATTGGTCACCCCGTGCCCTTATAAATCTCAACGTTCATCCGACAAAGCCCCATCACAAGGGAGAAACACAAACAAATAGACAAAAGATTTGTTGCCCGTATTGAAACGGCTGTACGCCATATGGACCTGAAAACTCAATTGCCCTGTACAAGAATTCGGGTAAACTCTATGGGTAGACACGGTATGCCACCACCACCATCACCACCTATGCCATAAACGCCACCACAGAAAGTTCTCCACCACCGTCGCCACTTACGCCACCAACACCACCACCACCACAATTGCTGATTTTGCCATCATCACCGCCACAAGCACCCTTACCATTGCCGCTATCAACGCGAACATTATTGTCGTGTTCTTTGGGTTTTTTGGTAAAGTCACGTAGATAGGTTCAAAGAAAATAACAAAAAAAAATGCGTTATTTTCTTTTAACCTATCTAAGCTTTCGTGACTGCAGGAATTCATCTTCTTTGGGTCTTTCGATAAAGTCACAAAAATATATATTTTTGTTATTTTTGGTTATTTTCTTTGAACCTATCTACGTGACTTTACCGAAAGACCCAAAGAACACGAATTCCTGCAGTCACGAAAGCTTTAAGTCAAGATTATTGTCGAGGCTATCTCTGTCATCGTGATCACTGCCACAATCACCATGTCAGAGTGTCACACTCACCGTCTGTAATCCATCACTGTGGAGGCAGCAGCGAGGGTTGGACATGTTTACACACAGCACTAGGTTGAGGCTGAGTCGACCTAGGGGAGGCACAGGATCGATTCAGAAAATCGTCACCGGTGTTGGCCGTGAGCGGGAATCGAACTCAGGTCGGCGGGCTTCGTAGCGCAGCGTAGCGCTAACCGCTGCACCACCGCTCCCCCAACACACACGCGCCATCACCTGCATACGAAATAAATAGTTTTCGCGAACTAGGAAAATGATGAAGACGTACAATTACCCCGAGGTCAATTACTTTTGCAAGGCACACCTTTTATATGGGTAGCAGACATTCATTGGGACCTTTAATTATTGCGTTTGTTACTTTTTGGAATAATTTGTTCTGGAAAGAAAATCTGTAGGAGAGCCAAATTGAGTGTCGGCTCTGAAGATGCGACGAAATATTTAGCAAAACGCACCCGAGGCCGTCGCTGCCAGGCGTCCTTTCACGTTGGAGGCGCATTGGTGTGGTTGTCCATCGGCCTGTTCATCATAGGCTTTTGCAAACAGGACCATTATCAACATTGCGTTCGTTTAGCCGAGCTAACCTCGGGACCAGGTTCCATCTCCTGGTTCTCTTCAGCCGAGTCTGGCTTGCTAAACAAATGCTGCTGGATCGTCAGGTGTCGTTGGCAAGCGCACCCCGTTGCAATAACACGTGGTAAGCCAGCAGAATTAGAGTAATAAGCCCGCTCAATAATATTGATGTTTTAAGCCGATAGGCTGATGGACTAGAACATATATTATTTACGTGGCGGCACGGAGTAGAGTTTTCTTTGCACAGCGATACCTCGGTTTACGTCGGGGATGTACAGACATGTGTTGAACTTCTTTCGCACCGTACGTAGCCAATCGTGCTAGTCGGAGGTTTAGGGGAAGCACAACAAACTACGCACTAAAAGCAGTTTTTAGGAAAGGAGTTTTCAATTTAGATGTAAAAGTGCATAGCTCCAGTGGCTTCCTAATATCGGAAGGAAGAGAGTTCCAGTGGTGGAAGCGCGTCTGAAAGTGCGCGATGCGGTGACCGTCTTCGTTCGACGGTTAGCCTAAAGCCGCCGGCTCCGAGGATGACCACGGGGATAGAGAGGGGGAGAGACACGCGCACTCCAAATATACAGCAGGCGTCAGGGTTGGGATAGAACCCACGGCTTCCTTATTTTTATTTTTATAGTTTTTTTTATTCACTTTATTTTTTATGATTATTTTTCTACCTACGTGACTTTACCGAAAGAACCAAAGAACACGTTTAACATCTCGCTAACCGTGGCGCCATTATCGCCCCCTCGCGACCCACGCAGATGATCGCGCGGAGACGGGCGGGGGGGAGATAATGAAGCAACCCGCTGCGCCACCGTTTGATGTCCGATTATTGACGCGCGCGCACACGGAGGGTGAGGGCCTCGCAAGAGGCGGCCGGGGAGCCCGCGTTGGAAATTCTAACGAGGCCCCCGCCGTCGCGCGAGCCAAATCAAGTTCTCCCGCTCGCGGGTCCTTCCAGTCGATTTCTTTCGCTTCTCTTTTCATTCTGTCCGCTTACATCCGCGGGGGCATTTTTGTCTCGCGAAACCGAATTACACGCTCTCCCTCCCTCTCTCCCGAAAACGCGGATTTTTGTCAAATTACAGAATTTAAATCTTTAAATTTACCCGGGAGAAATCCCGACGAGCTGTGAAGAAGCTTCTTTTTTTCTGTTGGCGCAGGATCGCCCACGCAGAACTCCGGGGGATTTTTCCGTCTCCGCGATTTTCCCCGCGCCCGGGGCTTTTCGGCAGCGGCGTTAGCGGCGGCGGCGGCGGCGAAGATTTTCGTTCGCGAAAGTGCCCCCCACCACCCCCCCCACCCACCCCCCACCAAATATTATCGCGACCCTAAATACGGCTTAAGCGCGGCCACCGGTGGATGGGGGTTGGACAACGACGGCCGTAATTCCCTCGACTAATTGAAAATGCGTCTCGTCGGCTTTTGATTTTTTTTTCTTTTTTCTCCCCCCCCCCCCGCCCGGCCTTTCCCTTTGTAAAGGAATGCATCGATCGTGCTATTGCTCCACGCCGTCACCAACCACCACCCCTCCATCAGTCAATATCCAAGAGCGAGCGGGAAAGGTGGGGGGGGGGGTATTATTAAATAAATAACGGAATAGCGATCGCCGCATTTCTATCGCCGCTCGTTCGGCCGCTAATGAGTTTTCGATGATGCCCCCCGCGTGAATGAGAGGCCTCTCACGGCAGTAAATTTTGCGGAGCGGTGGCGGTGGTGGTGGTGGTGGGGGGAAGTGGTGGGGGGCAGTGGTGGGGGGCAGGGGGGGGGCTCCTGCAACAGGTACGGCCACCGCCGCTCGCTCGCTCGTGTCACCCCATTGCCGCCGGTGAATTTGTGGTCCAATTATGATCGTAAAGAGGGAGCCTGACTGGCAATTCGTCACTTGTTTATGTGCTTCGCGAGGGGGGCGATAATGGCGATAAATAAATGCGCTCGCTAGGCAGAGCGAGCGTGAACAAGCGAGTGACGCGGACGGCGGTGGGGGGCCGCACGTACGTTCTGGGGTTAGGGTGTACCGTGTGTGTACTGTGTGTGTGTACTGTGTGTGCTGTGTGTACTGTGTGTACTGTGTTTGTACCGTGTGTGTACCGTGTGTGTGTACTGTGTGTGTGTACCGTGTGTGTGTACTGTGTGTACCGTGTGTGCGTACTGTGTGTGTGTACTGTATGTGTAGTGTGTGTGTGTACCGTGTGTGTACTGTGTGTGTGTACTGTGTGTGTACCGTGTGTGTGTACTGTGTGTGTACTGTGTGTGTGAACCGTTTGTGTGTAGTGTGTGTGTACTGTGTGTGTGTACTGTGTGTGTACCGTGTGTGTACTCTGTGTGTGTACTGTGTGTACTACGTGTGTGTACTGTGTATGTGTACTGTGTGTACTGCGTGTGTGTACTGTGTGTGTGTACTGTGTGTGTGTACTGTGTGTACTGCGTGTGTGCACTGTGTGTGTACTGCGTGTGTGTATATACTGTGTGTGTGTACCGTGTGCGACTCGCATGCCCTTTTGTTTGGAATGCATCGACTGCGACCGCGTGTCGCTGATGTTAGCCGTGGCCCAGAATCGAGCTCATGTACCTAAATCACTTTCAACGAAAACGACACAAGTTGGGCTTTCTTTTCAACATCACGAGTTAAAAGCGCTCTGACACGGGGAACTTGAGTTTGATTCCTAGCCGTGGCTAACGCGAGCGATGAGCGACATCTGAATCGTTCCTGGCTCCCCCTTTCATCAACCCACGGTGACCAGCGCGGTGAAGTATGGCACAACCACGATACCTTGCTGATCTCATAAACCACCATCACGCAAAACTCTGGCACTCATCCTCACAGTAGCGGCGGCCTTTGTCTCGGCCATGGAACAAAAACGGTCGTCGCGTCGCGCGCTTTCAGATGCACATCTGCGGCCGTCTGGAACGCTCCTCCCGATATCATCGAGATTGCAAACTCTTTTCTTAAGAACTGCTTTGTATGATTAGTTTGTTGTCCTTCCCCCGCACCTCCAATTAGCACGGTTGGTGACGTAGGGTGCAAAAGAAGTTCAACGTATGAACATACAATGTACATACGACCAGATAACGCCTTGAAGAACCGATAGTTTCAGTTTCATTTATTTGGTATAGCCCTGTGAGCCATTCGGCTCTTGAATCGGGTGCAACCACAACAAATAAAAAACAAAAACATGAACAAAAAACATCTTAAAGTGGCTATGCCATCGCTGTGCAAAAATCCCAGCGGGATGCAAGTCAGACAACAACAACAACCACAAGACAACTTAGATTAAAGCCATCATTCTAACTCCGTACCACAACAAACAAACATGGCCAAACCAAAAAACTTTTCGAAATCACCAAAATAAAGCCAAAAAAGCAATGTAACAGTGATCATAGGAACTGTGACCGAAATTTCACAATAAACGACATAAACAACATGTACCACCAAACCCTGCAGCCATAGCTGGCTGCATGAGTCACTCCACAACAGCAGGAGCATCAGTAGGAGTATCAAACATTTTCAAATGCACCTTTAAAGATCAGCACACTAAATCAAAACACAGATCATACTTTGCAGCGGTCATCCGGAATGAAAACATTTGATTTCAGGCCACTGAATAGCAGTGGCAGCTAGGGGTGTACAACTCCTCTAGAGCAGTTTTGAGTGAAGATCTCACAGGTAGTGATTCAAGTTGCAGTTTATTGGCAATTGAATTCCAGATCCTGGGGGCCTCAATAGCAAAGGCCCTTCCTCCAGTATTTGTACGGCAATAAGGAATGTGCAGCTGGTAAATGAGCGAAGACCTTAGGTCACATTTGTTCTTCGAAACTTGCCTTGTGTTTTCATAATCGGCCTCCGCTTTGCTCCCTCCCTCCCACCTGACACCCCCAACCCTCCACAGGCGTACGCGACCACCCTGCAAACGCAGGTGACTCAGGATCCGGGTCGGGTGATCCGGCCCGGAGCTTACCTGAACGACGAGCACCTGTCCAACTTGCGCGAGGAGCAGGTGGAGCAGCTGTACGAGCTCATGCAGGCGACCACCGCGGCCCCCGGCTCGCAGGACTCGCGGAACGGAGCGCCGGGCGGAACCGGAGCGGCAGGGCCAGCCTCGTGAGCCGGGCGGATCCCGCCCGCTCCGTGTCGCGTCTTGGACTTTCTCGGGGATTAAAGGGGGGGGGGGGTGCAAGGCCTGGTTAGCGAGCGCCTATTAAGGCTGGCGTAAGCACATCAGAGGGCAGGATGGCTGGACCTACGCCCGGCCGCCTTTTTAGCTTTTCTCCTCCGATGCTTACTCAACTGCAGCGGCAAGGGTTGTCACATCGAAAGGTGCGCAGAGAAACGGAGGGCTCTCACGGGTCGACGAAAATCTCCCAGTATTGTGTCGAGTGAGGCGTGGATCGTTAATGCGTCATTGTTATCGTTCAGCAACTGTTCAAACACCGGGGAACTTTGAATGTCCCGGGAAAGACTCCCAGATTGCCCGGCTTACGGCAGCCGCAGCCTCGCCAACGAGAGGGAACGGGTCGACGACCGTAGGCGTGCCGGCTGATCCTTGAAACCCCCACCCCGTGGTACAAAAACAGTCTACTAAACGAGTGTTCTACCGGCGCGACTTTCCCATGTAAATGCGACGTAGTTTCTGTACCCGCCCGCTTCACCGGGTTGTCTACCACCCCCCCCCCCCCACATTAACCGGGACGCGTCGGGTACATGCGGCCTGGCGGATATTCGCGTGCTGCTGTTTTTTTGTCAACCCGAAATTTTTCGGCAGTGGGCCTTTCTTGTGTACAGCAAAAAAAATCTAATAAAGCTATTTGAACAAAAATTTACGTTCCGTTCCCGCTATCACGCCCCCCCCTCCCCCACCTTGATTTCCCCTCCTTTTCGTGGAATGGGCTCATCTGCGTCGTGGGGCTTTGTCGGTCCTAGCGAAGGACGACGACCACCTGGCTGTGTAGATGCTGCCCAGCATCGCTGTAACTGGGCCTGCGTTTTCGTTACAATTGTCTTCAAATTAAGACCTTTAATCTGTACGTCTCAAAAACCATCTGGGGACTCTGCCGACAATGTAGAAAGCTGAAATTTGGTACGCGGGTAACTTTTAGGGCACAAACAACAGGAAACATCCCCCAAATCTCGATTTTAAGTGCCCCATAAACACGTTTTGTGCGTGGTGTCATTCAGAAACCGTTCAAAATTTCAGATTGCGGTTTTTCTTTTGATAGAGCGTTAAACAGCAAATTAAATTAAAGTGAGAACCATTGTTTTATCTTATTGTTTTTTTATTTTGGATTCAAGTGGTTTTGAACAAGAATACTATTTTATGTTGTTCAAATCTGAATAATTCGAAAATGGTAAAAGGAGCTTCCCTTCACAGACTATTAAGTTAATTATTTTGTGTTCTTTCTAATATAAGAACAACGGAATCTTTAACTTGAGCTGTTTCCAATGTGTACGTCTTTAAATATAAGAAGTTGAATCAAGTCGACAATTTTTGTGGTTATATCTGCGCAAAAATACACATTGTAGGAGTAGCTGTTAGTGTCTGATAGTGGATAAAAAAATTTTTTTATCAGGTACGTTATTATATTTAGCCAAAAGTTTGTTGCCTGGCGAAGACAAGCTTCATGAGCGAGTACTAAAGCGACTGCTACACGTGCCGGCCGAATGAGACGAGATCCGTGAAGCCGAGCTCCCCGCCATCGGCGTGTCTCGAGATGTCACCTCCCCTCGCCTGCTGTGCACGGAAGCCGTGGGTCTCGAATCCGAGCCTGACGACGCCTGCTTGTAAATTTGGAGTTTTTTGCGAATCTCTCTCTCGCCGTGGATTTTTGTCTCTGGTTCCCTCCGGTTTTTGCCCCTCCACGTTTAGAATCAACGTCACGCGTTTAAAGATAATTTTGGCTGCTGATATTTCCACGTGGCACATCACTTAGACCAGGGGTGGGGAACCTTTTTTTATTTTTAGATTTAAAGCTTTCGTGACTTGACCGAAAGAACCAAGAAGATGAACCTTTTTTATGCCAAGGGCCATTTGGATATTTATAACATTATTCATAATATAGGTTTTTGGGTCAGATCGCGTTATTTATAAATGTGTCGTAACCCTCCACCACCCGACACGGCCAAACAGTAAAAAATGTGTCACGTTTTCAAAGGACAAATTAATTTACTTCTTTAGCCCACCTATATTATGAATAATATTGGTCGCGAAAGCCTACGTGTTAAATATAACATCGTTCGCGGGCCATACAAAATTATCATCTTGAAAAGTAGCCTGTTATATTTGGTCAAACATTTAATTCACTCACCCCTAATGTGATGGCTGGAACTGCTTCTCTCTGGCGAGGCGTGTGATGTTGTTAGCTGGTGTTGATGATGATGTTGCTGCTACTCGCAACTGCTTTTCCAGGTTTGCTCCGAGATTTATTGAATTTCGAGTCCCGCCTGCGGTTGCCTTGGCAGGGCCACACCAAATGATTTCGCGGGCCTTGTATGGCCCGCGGGCCGGACGTTCCCCACCCCTGCCTTAGACTATTGTTTGTGGTCAGGTCGCTTCCTGAAAAAAAATCGATAGTAGCTTGGGTGGGCCTTACCTGGTCAATGAAATGGTTCTGTTTTAGTTGAAATCACGGCCAAGAGGAGTTGCGCTGAACTGCGGTCGTATTTAAAGAAACACGACACGTTTGTCAATAACTATCAACAATTTATTTTATGTTACCAGCTTAGGCCCACTGATCTCTGTAGCTATTTTTCAGCAGTGACCTGGCTAGCTCAACAAAGAAGTGGCTTGTCGTGTGGAAATTTACAAGCAACCAAATAACACTCTGAACGCGTGACTCTGATTCTAAACGTGGAGGGAAACCCCCGGGGGATCCGGAGAAAAATCCACGCGGCCACGGCGAGAGAGAGGCCATACAAACTCCAAATATACAGCAGCAGGCGTCAGGGTTGGGATGGAACCCACTGCCTCCTGTATACCTGGTGAGGTAGTAAACATCTCCTAGCCACCGTGATGATGATAATGAGAGAGACACAAGGAGATGAGGTCTATTGAATAGGAGAGGTGTTGCAGCACACGACGACGATGATCTTGACGATGATCTTCAAACGTCGCCACTGCTGCCTGTTGACTCCGTCGAGAGCCTGCAGGCTGTGTGGTCTGAAGTTAAAAGGTTTCTGTCATCGGCGTCGGGGAGAGAAACACGTGGACTCAGAAACTGCGATGGGCGTCCAAAATGCAGTGGGTGTCTGTTAGCCACATCTAGCCACAACAAACACACTACACCACTAACAACAACAATCACTACACCACAAACACACTACACCACTAACAACAACAATCACTACACCACAAACACACTACACCACTAACAGCAACACACTACACCCTGAAACACATTCCTGCGGAGGGAGCTGGTAGGAACGTTGGGTTGCTCGGTCAATGGGCAGGGTCAACGGCAGCGTGGTGTATTCCGTAAATATGCCCAACTGTGAGGGCGGGCACAAGCCGGCGTGAGTAGGTTAAACGTTGAATTTTATAAGGGCACCACGGGGTGACCAGCCCCTCCCCACGCAGCCCCACCCCTCCCACCCCCCACCCAGCCCCACCCCTTCCACCCCCGCCCAGCCCCACCCTCCCCACCCAGCCCCATTCTCCCCACCCAGCCCCTCCCCACCCAGCCCCACCCTCCCCACCCAGCCCCTCCCCACCCTCCCCTCCCCACCCAGCCCCTCCCCACCCAGCCCCACCCTCCCCACCCAGCCCCTCCCCACCCTCCCCTCCCCACCCAGCCCCTCCCAGCATAACGGACACAATAATCCCCTGTGGGCTGGTGTAACCAGGAGGTTCCTACCAGTATAACAAACACACTACACCACTCACAACACACAAACACACGACACCACTAACAACACACAAACACACTACACCACTCACAACACACAAACACACGACACCACTAAGAACACACAAACACACGACACCACTCACAACACACAAACACACTACACCACTCACAACACACAAACACACGACACCACTCACAACACACAAACACACGACACCACTAAGAACACACAAACACACGACACCACTCACAACACACAAACACACGACACCACTCACAACGCACAAACACACTACACCACTCACAACACACAAACACACTACACCACTAACAACACACAAACACACGACACCACTAACAACACACAAACACACGACACCACTAACAACACACAAACACACGACACCACTAACAACACACAAACACACGACACCACTCACAACACACAAACACACTACACCACTCACAACACACAAACACACGACACCACTCACAACACACAAACACACTACACCACTCACAACACACAAACACACTACACCACTCACAACACACAAACACACTACACCACTCACAACACACAAACACACTACACCACTCACAACACACAAACACACGACACCACTCACAACACACAAACGACCTCGCCTGGTGATGCCAGGTTGCTTCTGGGAAAGAGCTACGTAGCTCAGTGGACCTTAGCTGGTAAAAAAACAAATTTACCTTTAACCACATCCAACCACTCGCACTGACCGGTGTGGTGAAGTATGACCAACCAACGCAGAATCAACACGACGTGGCGATATCTTCATCCAGCAGTTGATTGGAAGCCGTGAATTATTATTAGTATTAACAGCAGGGTATTATTATATCAGCAAGCTATCATTAGTATCTGTGCCTCGACTCGGTCTTGATAAAGATACCACAATGAGCGCCACTCCAGCCCTCATTAGATCCGGGGAGGCGTATCGATTATAACTTCACTCAAATATTCCCCTTGCGTAAGGGGTTGACCTTAATCATCATGCTAATCATCTCAACCAGGGTGTATAAAACATTGACCACTTCGTGGGGATTCAACGCCAACAGTATACGGCTACTCTACAAGTAGTCGAAGGGCAGTTTTCGTGATGGTGGGGTAAAGTGTGAGTAACTGCCACACTCTGTCAAATACTGTCTGGCCGGCCTGGAAGAGTAGACCAAGTACCCTCTTGAGCTCCCCCTAGTGGAGGCCCCTTCCGTCAGCAGCAGCAGCAGCAGCAGCGACACCGATAGGCAATTGCAGGGGCTGAGCCTTTGACCCGCTCTTGATGCGGCCATCACAATGGAAAGCCCGCTCTCAAGTGTCTGGTCGACGTGGAAGAGTAGACCAAGTACCCTCTTGAGCTCCCGCTCGTGGAGGCCCCTTTCGCCAGCAGCAGCAGCAGTGGCACCGGCAGGCAATTGCAGGGGCTGAGCCTTTGACCCCCATCGCAATGCCCCCCCCCGCCCGCTCTGTTCATTAAACGCGGATCGCCTATTGATTCTCACGCCACTCGATTATCCCTCGCCTCGGCGGTGTGACAGGTTTGGCACCCACAGCAGCAGCACGGGGGCCCAGGGATCCAACCCGGTGGGACACAATTCAGCGGGTCCGTGCCGTGAATGATTTTATGGGCATATTCATTTTTCACCGATTCGGCATCGTCGCGTTGAAAACCTCTCCACGGCACGGGGGGGGGGGGGGGGCACGGCCACTGGTCCCAGATCACGCTCGCCCTTCTAAGGCGATTTGTTTAATAGGTGCTCGCAAACTCCCAGCTGGTGGCATCTGACCGTTGGGTTGTGGCCGGTGGGTTGTGGCCGGTGGGTTGTGGTCGGTAGGTTGTGGCAGATGGGTTGTGGCCAGTCGGTTGTGGCTGATGGGTGGTGGCCGCTTCGATGTGGGATGTGGCCGATGGGACCTGGCCCATGGGTTGTGGCTAGACAGTTGT